ATTGGTTTATAGGCTGAGATTCCCTCTTGCCACTATCCAGTGTAGCCTTTCTTTTCTTTGTTTGAGAATTTTTATGCCTACACAGATGTATAATAAACACAGAGTAGGCTTTTTGTCTAATTCATTCCTGGAAACACCATGACGGATTAGCCAGTACAAAAGATCCATAGGAGTCATGCTGTTCTAAAATCACTTTGTCTGTGCTGCCCATATGTCAATATATTCTCCTTGCCTTTGGCAATTCAGTGCTGCTACCTGGCCTCTGCTGCTCTGGGGGCCCAATAAAGCCCATCACATTTAACTTTTCTAATTGAGCATCAGTGTATCCAACCTAAGGATCTGGCACAAGGAAAAGAGCTATGACAAAGTTTTTCAATTTGCTTATTCCCCCTCTTACAATTTTGTGTTTTATAGGATTAGTGAAGAGACTGTCTTCTGGGCCTTTCCATTGTGGAGAATTAGGTTTTATATGGTAAACCCACTATTGCAATTTCTCTGAGCCCTGAAATCTCTTTGCCAGTACTAGCCAAGGGATGCCAGGTATCACCAGTTTCTTTTCAGTGACTGCCTTATGGCTAGTGCTTCAGTCGACCAATCAAACTTCTGACACCTTTTTTTAAACCATGCGAACTTCAGTATTAAACTTAGGACCTTCACTCAGTGGGTCATATCAATAAACTCAGCTTGATCCAGTTTTATGTTTCTCCACCATTATTTCACATCCTTAAGAGTCCATTCCCACACATATTCCCCTCTTTAGTGGTGTAGCACACCTTCTTGTGAATTTCACCTTTAGGAGCCTGCTTATACTTGATTCTGGCTATAGTTTATAGGCTACTCTTGATGGGCACTGAGGGACTTCAGCATTGTCTTGCCTGTATTTCTCCTTAAGGGAAAGACACTGCCAGTTTGTAGAAAATGAAAGATTAATATCCTTAGGCAAAGGTACAGAAGGAAATATTGCAAGGGATGGGGATGCATCACCCACTAGGAGTTGGGTGACCACTTCTTCAGGTGAGACAAACCCTTCAGAATATGAGAGTTCAGCGCCCTCAGCCTCGCTTCATGTAGGGCCTTCCTGTACTTCTCCATCTCAAGTTCGGGAGGATCCCACCCCTTACCAGTCAGTGCCGTTAGGTTCTACCATTAGTGAATGAATTACCGTAGCAACAGGAAGGAGTGAGGCAAGCAGACAAGAAGCAAAAGGTTTCTTCTTCCATGTCCTTTTATGTAGGCTGCCACCAGAAGGTGTGGCCCAGATTTAAGGTAGCTCTTCCCACATTGAATGATCCTATCAAGAAAACCCTTTACAGGTGTGCCCAACTACTTGGGTTTTAGTTGAGTCCATGTGTAGTCAAGTTGATAACAAGATTAGCCAGCACACTAAGTTTCCAACTTAAGCTGTCAGAAACACAGATTGGAGAAAAGGTACCCCTTTAACAAGTGTTGCTGGCTAAACTGGATTTCTACATGTGGAATGAAAATAAGTCCATGTCTCTCACATTCCACAACAATAAATTCAGTATATCAAAACCTTAATGTAAGCCGGGTGGTGGTGGCTCATGCCTTTAATCCCAGCACTCGGAAGGCAGAGGCAGGCGGATCTCTGTGAGTTCGAGGCCAGCCTGGGCTATGGAGTGAGTTCCAGGAAAGGCGCAAAGCTATACAGAGAAAACCTGTCTTGAAAAACCAACCAAACAACCAAACAAAAAACCTTAATGTAAGAAGAAGATGTAGGTAAAGCATTTCATTATATGGTCATAGACAAGAATTTTCTGTCAAGAGCTATAGCGTAGGCAACAATACCAAGAATTGACAAATAGAATTCCATGCCAAGTAAAGGAAACAGTCACTAGAGTGAAGTCACTTAGACTTGGGGAAAATAATTGCCAACGTTACATTTGACTGGGGACTGATATCTAGACTATATAAAGAACTGCTAAAATTAAACACTAAAAGCATTCAGTCTATAGATAGGCTTATGAACTGAATAGACAGTCCCCCTATTAAAAGGAGGAATACAAATGACCTGTAGATACTTGGAAAAAGTGTTCAATGTTCTTAGAAATCAGGGAAATGTAAATTAAAACTGCTTTGAGATTCTTTCTCACCTCAATTGAAATGGCTGTCATCAAGAAAACAAGGACAACAAATGCTGGTGAGGATGTGGGGCAAGGGGAATCCTTATTTGCTGCTATTGAGAATGTAAATTTAAGGGCTGGAGAGATGGCTCAGCCGTTAAAGGCTAGGCTCACAACCAAAAATATAAGAGAATGTAAATTTGAATAGGCACCGTGGAAGTCACTTTGGAGGGTTCTTCAGAAAACTAGTAATAGACCATATGACTTAGATTGTGTAGCCACAGAAATACTTACACATCCATTTTTACCGCCACACTATTCACAGTGGCCAGGAAATGATACCAGAGTGAATATCTACCAGGAGAAGAATGGATACAGAAAATGTGGTGCAGTGAGTAGTGCTGGCTACAACAGTGGGCATTTGGGTGGCAGAGGGGAGGGAAGGCTGGGAAGGCTAGTGGGAAGGCCAAGGCTAGTTTCTTGCCTATGGAGAGCTGGGCTGTATACTTCCTTGTGGGCCATATCCACAGACAGCCGCTGCTGCTGTGCACAGTGCTGTGATTCTGGAGTACCTCACTGCTGAGGCATTGGAGTTGGTGGCTAAATGTTTCCAAGGGTTTCACAAGGAAGTTTATCATTCAGTGTCACTTGCAACTTACAGTCTGTGGTGAGGAGGAGTTAGATTCACTTATCAAGGCAGGGGTAGTGTGATCCCTTACATCCACAAATCTCAGCTTGCAGAGAAATGCCAGCAGAAAACTGCCTAGGAGGGTTATTTTAACCAGCCTCCTTCTTTTGCATTGTTCTGTAACTGGAACAGAAGATAACAATGAGAACATGTGGAATTTTAAAAAAATAGTTTAATGGAAAAGTATAGACAGTTACTGTAGTCACAATGAAAGAAACATTTTTATGTTCTTTGACTCAGAGTTTGGTGAAATGCCTTCTCATGTGGTGACAGTTATGTGTTGACTGGCCAGATTTCTCCTTTATGTTTTTATTATAAAAAAAATAGAATCAATGAACCAAATTTTATGAAATAAAGAGGTAAAATGCTATATATACACAACAGACTTTTATGCACCTGTAAAGAAAAATGCAGTCATGACATTTGCAGGAAAACGGAACTAGAAATCATTGTTAAGTTAAATAAGTTAAATAAGTCTGATTCAGACGAACAAATCATGCTTTCTTTTTTATATAGAACCTAGATTTAAAGGAGTGTGTGTGGCGGGGGCTACAAAGTGGATCATGAGGGGTGGAGAAGATCTTAAGATAGGGAGAAACAGAGAGGGTAATGGAATACATGCAGCTTGAATGCAGAAGGGTGGATTGCCTGGTTTAGAAGGAAGGAAGCCTGCTAGGAGGCAGAGAACATGGGAGTGGGGTGGGGATAATGATGGAGAACAACATATAACGACATATATTCATGAAATGCCGTAACGATACCCATTTCTTTGCATAGTAACTTAAATTAAAGAATTCAAAGATAAATGTAATCTGTTTTAAATAGTCAGATTAGCAGAATTAAAACTGTCCTATGCTAGACAGGGATGGCAAGGATGTCATAGAGATGGTCAGTATGCTGTTCAGTGGACAACTTTTCTGAAAAGCAGCTCTGAAGATTTTATCAAGAGTCCTTAGAAAATATTTGTCTCCTTGTCTGGACACTTGTAGACAATTGCCTATCTTGTAGACAATAATTACATGGGAAAAACTTTGTATAAGTCCACATATTTATCAGTGCTCCGTTTAATACTGAAATACTGGAAATTACTTAGATGTGCAACTGGAAAACATTTAAATAACCAGTTTCTCCCTCCCCTTTCTCTCTGTTAGATTTGTTATGTGTATATCTGTGCATATGCTGCAATGCCCTCAGAAGCCAGCAGAGTATGTTGGATCCTCTGAGGCTGAATTTACAGATGGTTGTAAGCCATCATGTGGGTGCTGGGAACTGTACTCAGGTCCTCTGAAATAGCAGCTCTTGATTGCTGAACCATCTCTAGCCCCTGTAGTTTTTTTATTTTATTTTTTTTTTTTTTTTATTTTTTTTCTTCTTGTTGTTGCTGCTTTTTTTTGGGACAGAGCTTCTTTGTGTAGCCCTGGCTGTCCTGTAACTTACTATGTAGACCAGGCTCAAACTCAGAGATCCACCTGTGTCTGCCTCCCTAGTGCTAGGATTAAAGATGTTGCCACCGGTGGCTGGAGAGATGGCTCGGCAGTTAAGAGCACTGACTGCTCTTCCAGAGTTCAATTCCCAGCAACCACATGGTGGCTCACAACCATCTGTAATGAGATCTGGCGCCCTCTTCTGGCCTGCAGGCAAACATGCTGTATATATAATAAATAAATCTTTAAAAAAAAAAAAAGATGTTGCCACCATGACTGGCTTCTCTTTTTTTTCTAAATATACTTAAAAAATAAGATTTATTATTTTTATTTCATGTGCATGGGCGTTTTGCCTGCATGTGTGTGTGTATCATGTTAGCATCTGGTACCTGGTGCTTGCAGAAGCCAGAAGAGGGCTCCTGCTTCCCTGCAACTGGAGCGGATGGTTGTGAGCCACCATGTGGGTGATGGGTATCAAACCCAGGTCTTCTGGCAGAGTGTCTAGTGCTCTTAACCACTGAGCCATCTTTCTATCCCCATGTTTTATAGTTTTGTGTTGTTTTTTGTAAACCAATTTAAAAAAATAGAGCAAAGGGAAAACTTGAAGTTCAAGTCACGTTTGCTTTTTACTTTTTTCTGTCTTTATCAATGTAACTCATGAGTTTGTGATTTATATTTATTTTTACTGTTAAATTGCTTGTTGATAATATTGGAAGCAAAATAGTACACAAAATTATTTTATAGTAATTCTGAATTGTATTTGTGTTAAATAACTGAGAGTTAATAAAACAATTTTTTTCCCTCTAGAAACTGCATTTAAATTTAAAGCCCTGAAGAAGATCGCACAATTAGCTGTTATAAACAGCCTAGAAAAGGTAAGCTTCAGCCTCCTGGGTACTCAGATTTTGGCTTCAGTTATGAATTTTGCTATATTTAATATCTTGAAGATAAGAAAGTCAAGACTTGTGTGGTAGTTTCACACCACCATAATGGGAAGTATGCATTACAGTATCCTTATGAAGAAACTTTCAGTTCTGTGCTATTTAATATATTGGAAATATTGACTACTTTCTTATAAAAGCATATATTTCATTACTTGTAGGCCTTTTGGAACTGGGTAGAAAACTATCCGGATGAATTTACAAAGCTATACCAAATTCCGCAGACTGATATGGCTGGTAAGCTGAATGACTGTGTGGTGGGGTGAAGGGATGTGTACCTTTGTTAAGCTCTCAGAGTAAAACATGGTGCTTTTCAGGTTACCTTGTTATAAAGGTGGTTTTCTATAGTCTGTCATCAACTGTCCTCAAATAGGAGTTGTAGGCTTCCTCTCCTAATTCTTCATTTTTTCCAGCCCTTTCCCCTTTGAGCAAATAAGTTTTACATCAAGCTCTAGTCTTTCATGTTGTATTTGAATATTGATGGCTCTCTCATAGCACTTATGTGTGTGTTTTAGGACTTTATTTTAGTTAGGTAGGTATATCCGATGAGGAAATACTATTTTTACTTTTGAATAAGATTTTGGGGGGTTGGGGATTTAGCTCAGTGGTCAAGGCCCTGGGTTAGGTCCTCAGCTCCGGGGGGTGGGGGGAGATTTTTGGGGTGATACCTGCATAGCAGAGAATAGAGACTCCTTGGGAACTGGAAGTTCTTTTGTTAAGCTGTCAATCTTTTGTTCCTTCTGTAAGACCCTAATAGTGTGACAAAATATAAAGCCACTGTAAACTGGGGACTTTCCTAGGATGGGTCAAAATAGCCCTTCTTATACATTCTTTTAAAACTGTGATCCTTGGTTTTTTTGTTTATTTGGTTGGTTGTTGGTTTTGTTTTATTTTTATAATTCTGGATTTTAATTTAATGCCAAGGGTTTTCTTATCTATTAAGATCATCTAATGTTTGTATTTTCACATAGAGTGTGCAGAAAAGCTGTTTGACTTGGTGGATGGTTTTGCTGAAAGCACCAAACGGAAAGCAGCAGTGTGGCCGCTACAGATCATTCTCCTCATTTTGTGTCCAGAGATAATCCAGGACATATCCAAGGACGTGGTTGATGAGAACAACATGAATAAGGTGAGGAGGGCAAAGGGTTTCTGTCCTTTCCTAATGGGAAGCACTTGTTTTACTTAAGGTATACATTTTATTTACAGCCATTCTGGGTTGAGCAGTTGGTTGACCTTAATAGCAACACATTCATGAGTTATTTTATTTGAAAGAAGAATGAATAATATAATCAATGACTGGAAGGCTCTGAACTCTGTTGTTTTTAGTACTGAGTAAACTAGATAATTTTTATCACTTAAACTTGTTCTTTGCTTTATTCATCATTAAAATATATTTAGAGATTTATAACTTAACTATATTTATGTGTATAAATTGAATACTGGCTGGCTATTTCCAAATAAATTACATAGCTAACAATGCATTTTCTAAAGCTTCATGGTGACTTTTGGAAATATTATTTAATAAATTTTTTTCTTTATGAAACATAACTATCCTAACAATTTAATATTTGCAAAATTAATGTAAATTTGAAAGTTTCAATCTTTACTATGGGTTGAAGTAACCTAATTAGATAAAAATCATTAGATTTGATGTTCCCAAATTTTCCTTTGACTTTTGCTCATTAACATTGATTTAAAAATCAGGAGTTAGTTAGGTGGTGGTGGCACACACCTTTAATCCCAGCACTTAGGAGGCAGCAGCAGTCAGATCTGAGTTTGAGGCCAGCCTCATCTACAAAGTGAGTTCCAGGACAGCCAGGGCTATTACACAGAAAAACTCTGTCTCGAAAAACCAAAGAACAAACAAAAACCTAGGAATTTGAGAGATGATTTATTGGCTAAAAACACTTTCTGCTCCTCCAGGGGCCCTGAGTTCAGTTTCCAGCATCCACATTAGGGAGTTAACAACCTGTAGCTGGAGTTTTCCTGTGTCCACCCAGCTCCTGCAGCTGCTCAGACCCAAGTAAACTCACAGAGACTTATATTACTCATAAACTGTATGGCCGTGGCAGGCTTCTTGCTATCCAGTTCTCACATCTTAAATTAACTCATTTCTATTAATCTATAAGTTGCCACGTGGCTTGTGGCTCACTGGTACTTTACATCTTATTTCTCTTTGCAGCAGCAGCTGGTAGCATCTCCTCAGTCAGCCTTCCTTTTCCCAGAATTCTCCTCTTTGTCCCGCCTATACGTCCTGCCTGGCTACTGGCCAGTTAGCACTTTATTTATCAATTAATCAGAGCAACACATTCACAGCATACAGAGCCATCGATATCCACAGCAACAACCTCTTGTAACTGCAGCTCCAAGGGATCAAACACCCTTTTCTGGCCTCTGTGGGCACATACATACACATGACATTCACTCACACACATCTATACAGAAATGAAAATAATAATAAATCTTTAAAAAGACTAATAATGGCCAAAGAAACTGCTCAGGCACTTTCCACCAAGGCTGACACCTTAATTGGATCCCCAGATCCCACATGGTGGAAGGAGAGAATTGACTCCCACAAGTTATCTTCTGACCTCCATACAAATGCCCTGGTGCATTCTGACACATACACAAAATAAATAAGTGTAAAAAAGAAAGAAAGAAAACTTAGTAAGTTGAAACAAAGAAAATTTCACTTTACATTTCACAGACAAAGAAAATTTCACAGGCACTCACTGGAAAAAGCCACTTTTCTCTTTTCTATCCATCCATCCATCCATCCATCCATCCATCCATCCATCCATCCATCCATCCATCCATCCATCTTTGGCTTTTTTTGAGACAGAGTCTTGTCTCAATATGTAGCCCTGGCTGTCCTGGAACTCTCTCTGTAGACCAGGCTGGCCTCAAACACAGAGATCCACCTGCCTCTGCCTCCTGAAGCTGGGATTAAAGGCTTAAACCATTATGCCTGGCTTTTATCCTCAGTTTTAAGATGGCTAGTATAACATAAATCTTAAAAGATCTTATTAATAATAATAATAAAAAAGAGCCAAATATTGGGGCAAAAGCTGAAAACTCAGAGAAGCAGGACAACTCACAGCCACTGGCTTACCTCTACAAAATCCTGATTCTTGAGAGAGAGTTCCTGTTTCCTCTCGCCTTATATACTTTCTGTATCTGCCATATTACTTCCTAGGATTAAAGGCATGTGTCCTTCCCAAGCAAAGACATGAGATCTTAAGTGCTGGGATTAAACATGTGTGCTACCATGCCTGGCTCTGTTCCCAGTGTGACCTTGAACTCATCGAGATCCTGATGAATCTCTGCCTTCCGAGTGATAGGGTTAAAGGTGTGTGCCACCACTGCCTGACCTCTATGTCTAATCTAGTGACTGGCTCTGTCCTCTGATCCTCAGAAAAGTTTATTAGGGTACACAATATATCACCACAGGCTACGTATACTTATTTCTAGACCTAGAGTATATAGCAATCCATACTTAAACTGACACGTTGATCACCTTTCCCAAGGTCTTTTGTGTTTATTGCTTTATGGAAGTTTTGTCTTTGAAAAATTTCCATGTTTTTTATTTAAAGATTTTCATCTTAAAATTCTCTGATCAATTAAGAACACTGGTTTATCTATGAGGAGACCCAGGTTCCCACTTCCCACATGGCAGCTCACAACCACCTGTAGCTTCAATTTTGGGGAATCCGACACACTCTTCTGTCTGGCCTTTGAGGGCACAAGGCATGCACATGGTGTGAGGTACATGCAAGCAAAACACTTATACATATAAATAAAATAAAACAATCTGAAAAAATATTTTAAAATACTACTGGATTTGGCTTGCTCTGTGTGTGTGTGTTTTCTCCCCTTTTTTCCCTTGTGATTGGACTGTATTTCTGTCTTTATTTGGCTTTGGAATCAAGATACTTGTTAGCTTTACAGACCTGAGTAGGGGTTTTTCCTCCTTATTTTTGGAATGAATTGTCCTTGAAAGTATGATCCTCCTGCCTCAGCTTTTCAAGTGTCTGGAACTTACAGGTATGGCAGCATGCTGGTCTCACATTGAAGTAGGAAGTGTGCCTTTCTCTTTAATTTTTTTTAGAACTATTTGAGAAGGATTGGTACTAATTCTTAAAATAGTTGGTAGAATTTACAAAATGAATATAAGATTCTGAATTTTCTTTTTTGAGAAGTCTTTTATTACTGATTCATTACTGATTCAATTTCCTTTTCTTTTTTTTCTTTTTTCTTTTTTTTTTTTAGTTTTTCGAGACAGGGTTTCTCTGTGTAGCTTTGCGCCTTTCCTGGATCTCACTCTGTAGACCAGGCTGGCCTTGAACTCCCAAAGATCCGCCTGCCTCTTCCTCCCAAGTGCTGGGATTAAAGGCGTGCACCACCACCGCCCGGCAATTTTCTTATTAGTCATATCTCTGTTCAAGCTTTCTATTTCTTCATGGCTTAGTTTTGCTAGACCATGTACTTGTAGGAATTTGTTATTTCATTTTTATTCTATTTATTGGTGTACAATTTTTAAAATATCTTTTTTTTTTTTTGTTTTTTGAGACAGGGTTTATCTGTGTAGTTTTGGTGCCTGTCCTGGATCTCACTCTGTAGACAAAGCTGGCCTTGAACTCACAGAGATTCGCCTGGCTCTGCCTTCTGAGTGTGGGATTAAAAGGCATGCACCACCCCTGCCCGGCGATTTTTATAATATTTTATAGTCCTGTTTTTCCAAATCTGTAATGTTACCACATTTAGTTTTGACTTTAGGAATTTCAGTCTGCATGCATACACAAGTGCTCTCTGTCTGTCTGTCTGCATGTGTGTGGTATATGTACACTTCCATGGTGGCCTGCTTATCACTCTGAGCCTTACTTTGTGAGCCGGGTTCTCACTGAACCGAGAACTGACTGATGTCAATAAGCCCCAGCAACTTTCTTGTCTCCATTCCCTAGTGCACTTGACTTCCAGGAGTGGCCATGTTCATTCTTTTCAATGGTTCTGGGATCCAGACTCAGGTCCTTTTGCTTGCACAGCAAGTTCTTCTACCATCTCTCCAGCCACTGCCCCTCATCTACCCCCAAATTTGTAAATGTTGTTGGCTTTTTTAAAGTCAACTTTTTTTTTTCTCCACTGCTATTGTATATTTTGTTCAATTGATCTCTGTTCCAGAGATTTAATATCTCTGCCGTGTGCGTCATCTGAGCTTAGTTTGCTCTTTTTCTCTAGTCCTGTGAGTTACTGATTTGAGAGCTTTCCTACTTTTCCTGGGTTGGAGCTTTACTCAATGCTGCCTTTGCTTGATGTGTTACACTGTTTGACCTGAAGGGGTTTCTAATTTCCTTGTACTGATGAGTTTTTTCCTTTCATTCACTATCTGCTTGTGACTTTGGTGAGTTTTTATATATTTGTGAATTTTCTAGTTTTCCATATGCTTATGTTTTCCAGTTTCTGTCCCCTTTTTATCAGAAATGACATGTTGTTTAATTTTAACCTCTTTCAACATATTAAGACTTGTTTATTGACCTAACGTGGTTCGTTTTGGAACTATGCACCTTTTGCCCTTAAGAATATGTATTCTTCTAGTTTTTGGGTGAGTTTAGCTTTTGAAATGTTAGACAGGTTTGAAGATATATATGGAGACAAAGTGGAGGTCTGAGGTTTTCATTTAGCAGAAAAACTAAGGGAAGAAATTTATAAGATACAAAGAGGGATTGGAATCACAGAAATGTAATTTTAGGTGCTGGAGAGATGGCTCTTGCCGAGTACCCAGGTTTGTGTCCCAGCACTCATTGGGTGGGTTACACCTGTCTATAACTTAAGTTCCAGATGCATGGTATACATACAAACAAGCAGGCATACAAACATACACATGAAATCAAATGAATATTTTAACAAGATAGACTTTTTTGGTTTATTATTTTTAAATTAAAAAAATATGTGCATGTGTGCATGTGCATTCCCATAGAGGCATAAGATCCTCTGGAAGTGGAGTTACAGGTAGTTAGGATCCATTCAGTGTGAGTGCTGGAAACTGAATCTCGATTCTCTGGAAGAATAGCAAGGTCTCTTAACCACAGAACCAATTGCTCTGGTCCTGGATTTTTTATTTTAATTTTTTATTTTTTTGTGTTGGTGCTGCTTTTTAAAATGGAAGCATACAAGGACAAAGGACTGGCACACTTGGTGATGATCAACTCATCCAGTTGGTTCAGACCATCTTCCTCCTTTGGTTGGTCAGGTCTGATTTCCTAGTGATCTTCACAAGGCTCTATAGTCATTTGACCCTGTCCTGAACAGTTCAGGACACATCGCAAAAGCAGCACACAGGTGACCGAACAACCTCAGTGGACATGGGCATCATCAGAGAGGTCTTCAGTATCATGTTAATCTGCAGGACTGCCTTTTCATTAGCTGCCAAGTCCATCAAGGCCCTGGTGCTGCCTCCATCCTTGTCCAGATCTGTGTAGGGCCCTGTGCTCTTAGGAAACATCTTGTTCACAGCTGGCTTTGTCCATATCCCATGGCAAAGCGGGTTTTTGGTTTTTGTTGTTGTTTTTTAATTTCTAGAAATGAAATGTAGAGCAAAAGAATTCTTTTGAGTATATTATTTAAAAGGCGGAATGTTGAAGATACTCTAGAGTAGTAGAAAATTATGAAATAATTTGACATATACCACAATCAAGGCAGTCATATATTTAAGCCTCAAAGATAACTCAAAAGGAAGATATGATAAATCTACACTAATGTTGAGTTCAAATGTACAGGAAGGAATGTTTCTTTTACCCCTATAGAAAGTCAACAGAGAAAGTAGAGAAAAATGTTTTATGTTTGTGTTTGTGTTTGTGTTTATTTTAACTTAAGAAAGATTAAGTGATGACTCCTTAAATATGAAATGAAAGCCAAATATAAACCATTCCTTCTTATAGTTTGAATTTTAATCCATAATTAGCTACTTTGTTAGCTAAGTCTACAGTAGTGTAAACTCGATTTCTTGTCTTCTTAAATTTGAATTCTGTAGAAGCTATTTCTGGACAGTTTACGGAAAGCACTTGCTGGCCACGGAGGCAGCAGGCAGCTGACGGAGAGCGCGGCCATTGCTTGTGTCAAGTTGTGTAAGGCGAGCACTTACATCAACTGGGAGGACAACTCTGTCATCTTCCTCCTCGTGCAGTCCATGGTGGTTGACCTTAAGGTAATATGCTATTCCCTTCTGCAGACTTCAAGGAAGTTATGTAGGTAAACTGCTAGTATGACTGTTCGCTAAAGAGAATTGCTAGCTCTAAATTTGGAGGTAACTTTGATAAGTTCAAAGGACCTGCTTTTGTTGTTCCTGGGCTCATTAGTCTCCCCTGAGAACATGAAGGATGATATGCAATAGTTCTCTCTCTCTCTCTCTCTCTCTCTCTCTCTCTCTCTCTCTCTCTCTCTCTCTCTCTCTCGTGTTTTCAAAACACAGGCTCTCTCTGTAGCTTTGGAGCCTGTCCTGGAACTCGCTCTGTTGACCAGGCTGGCCTCAAACTCACAGAGATCCTCCTGCCTCTGCCTCCCAAGTGCTGGGATTAAAGGCGTGCACCACCACCGCCTAGCAACAGTTTTCTTAATATTTAAGTACTTGAGTCTTAATGTAGAAATTTGGCTTGGGAGGAATCATATGTAATAAGTCTTATATGATAGTGACAAACTATAGTAACCAGTATTTTGTGCTTTTTCTGGCAACTATAGTTTACTGTAATTGATGTGGATAATGTTGATTATGTTTATATACCTTGTTAAAGAAATAAATACTTGATAACTATTTAAAGGCCACTGTTTTCTATTGGGATTTTTATAGAACCTGCTTTTTAATCCAAGTAAACCATTCTCTAGAGGCAGTCAGCCTGCAGATGTGGACCTCATGATTGACTGTCTTGTCTCTTGCTTTCGGATAAGCCCTCACAACAACCAACACTTTAAGGTAAGAAAATTAGTTTGTACAACCATGTTTATTGATACAGCTATAGTTTTTTTAATTAAATTTTTTAAAATTTATTTTACATACCAACTACAGTTTCCCCTCCCTCTTCTCCTCCTGTATCCTCCCCACATTCACCCCCACCCCCTGCCAGCCCCATCCACTCCTCAGAAAGGGTAATGTCTCCCATGGGTGTCAACAATGCATGGCATATCAAGTTGGGGCAGGCCTAAGCTCCTCCCCCTTGCATCAAGGCTGAGCAAAGCGTCCCACCATAGGGAATAGGTTCCCAAAAGCCAGCTCATGCGCCAGGGACGGATCCTGGTCCCGCTTCTTAGGGACCCCACAAACAGACCAAGCTTCACAACTGTCTCCCACATGCAGAGGGTCTAGGTTGGTCCCTTGTGGGCTCCCTAGCTATTGGTCTAGAGTCCCTGAGCTCCCACAAGATTGGGTCAGCTGTCTCTGTGGGTTCCCGTCATGTTATTGACCCCCATGGCTCCTACGATCCTTCCTCGTCTTCAACAGGACTCCCAGAGCTCGGCCCAGTGCTGATGCAGTTATTCGTATAAAATGCAGAGACTATAAATGAATAGGTGTACTTTTATTAGTGTTTCTTTTTTAAAAAAATCAGATTTATTTATTTTTATTTTATATATCTGGCTATTTTGCCTGCATGTATGTCTGTGCACCATGTATGTGCTTGATGCCTTCAGAGGCCAGAAGAGGCATCATATCCCCTGGAACTAGAATACAGACAGTTGTGAGCCAACATGTGGGTCCTGGGAATTGAACCCAGGTCCTCTACAAGAGCAGCCTGTGCTCCTAACCCTTGAGATAACTCTCTATCCTCTTTGTAGTATTTTGTGATATTCTATATTGATGCTAATTTCTAGACCTTAAATTTATTTTATTGAAAATAATTTAACTTTTTGCTGTTCTTTTGTCTTTTTTATATTAATGATCCCCCCCCCCCAAAGATCTGCCTGGCTCAGAATTCACCATCTACATTTCACTATGTGTTGGTAAACTCCCTCCACCGCATCATCACCAATGTAAGTCTAAAAGGTATTCTATATTACTGAAAAAGTAATTTTTCTTTCTTTTTTTGTTTTGGGTTATATATTTTTTCCACTTTTAAGGAAGATGCTGGTTTTAACAAAAGTTTTTTACTTAGAACTTTATAAAAACCAGGAAGCTTCTCTGAGGTGAATACCAACATTTGATATACAGCTGTAGTTTTTGTTTGGTCTCAGCCTGAGGCTTTTATTGTGAGGGATGAAGTTCATAGGTTCTTTTGGAAAGAGTAAGCCTAAAAATATTGTCATTTAAAGTTCAAAACCTGTTGAGAGCAGTGCCATTGAAAATATAATGTAGTACTTTCATAACAAAGCATTTGTTACATCCTGATTTACTATCTTACCACTTACGTTTAAAGGAAGAATAATTATAATGTAGCCTAGTACGGCATATTTACAAAATGGAAAATTCTTATTTGATTATACCTTTTAACCCTCTTTAATTAGGATAAAATGCAAACATTTTAAAAGATACATTCACGAGATACAAAAGCATATCAGTGAGTGAATTCATTAGGTATTTGTGATGACGAGTATATGAGGTAAAAAGCAGACAGTAAAACCTGACTATGTTTTTAAGGACTAAAGACTTTGTTCCTTTTAGGAACAGTTGTATTTGGATGTTCTTTGCTTACTTTTATCCATTGACAGATATGTTACATTTATGAATAACTTGCTCACTTTGTTCTTGCCATTGTCCCTTAAAGTCTTTGATCACTGATACTTTGGTATATTTGTCCTGTTTATAGTTAAATTCCATTTATGACTTGCAAATTCAAAATAACCTCCACTTCTTCATTTGCCTTGGATATATTGAATTAAACCAAATGTTACCCCTCCTTTTAAAAAGATATCTTGCAGGGGAAAATGCCTGCTGATAAAGTCACCTAGTGACATATTCTTTTTGCTTTGTGGAGTGCTAATAGCATTTTAGAACAGTGGTTTTGTTTTTTAGCCTGGCTCTGTGCCTTGAAGGACATTTATCATTTGGGTGCTCAATTCCTGAAATGGCACCTGTGCTGTGTCTCCTGCATTGTGAACAGCTAAAGGCTTGAGGGGACAATAGTACTGCCTCAGTTGGCTATCACTGACACAGATTATAGGTAAACATTATAGTGAATAGAATTAGTTCCATAGAGGATAATCTAATGAATCTGAGTGGAGATAAAATATGTTTATATGAAAAACTTTTAAAAAATTGTACATTTGCCAGTATAATGACTCAGACTATTTTCCTTCCAAGGTTTAGTTTTAAAGTTAGAAACAAACAGAAAAGACGTTTTTTTTTTTTTAATCTCACAAGTTTATATGTAATTAAAAAATAAGATGTTACTCCCTCCTTTGATTTAAAATATTGAAAGTATTCCACTTATTAACTGGATAACTTTATAGAAATGGTTAAAATGTAATAAATCCAAGTTTATAGTTTTTTACTATTCTGTGACTAGTCACTTTAATCGTGAACTATTTTTGTCTATAATTGAATACGTAGAGCACTTTCAAGCATGGACTTGGCACTGCTGTAAGTGGCTGAGCTGCTCTTTCCTGGGTTTCAAGCATGCCTGCAGTGTTAGTCCCTTGCATGCCTCAGTGTGCCTGGTGAAAGTGTGTGCACCCTCTCTAAGGAGTGCTGCATGTGTGCAGGCAGAGTGCGTCTGCGTCCGGAGTCATTTGTGTTTACAAAGCTCCTATACTGACTCAGTTTTAAAAACTATGTATTAGCAGCCGTTCAGTGCAATAGCTTGTAAACAAACTCAAATAATGTGGAAGTGTCTTTTTGTTTATTTGTTTTTTGAGACAAGGTCTCATCATGTACTGTTAGGAGGCCTGAAACTCACTATATAGACCAGGCTGACATTATACTCACAGAGATCCACCTGCTTCTGCCTTCTAAGTACTGGAAGTAAAGGACTAAGCCACCACACTGGTCTTCCAACATGACTTTCAGGTTATACTTTAGTTATCCTCATCCTTAGAGATTGCTTGGTAAATTGTTTCTTATTAGATTCCACCCTCCACCCAGGCTTGAGGCTACAAATAGTGACTCTAAAATACTTTTAATTGTAAAGAACTATTTAAAACAGTTAATATGCAAATTTATGTAATCAAGTATTTAATAGAGTTTAACTGGGAATGTTTAGTAGGAAAATGTATATCTTCATGTCATATGAATTCTTTCTGAGAGTATGGAGTTCAGATCTTCGACTTATTTGTGTATATATGTTTTTAAACATACGTTGTTTTTAAACAGTTCAGTATGCCTCCTAAGCTCTCCTTTTCTTAATCCAGTTGACAGTTTTTTAAATTATTGTGTTCCCTTAAAAGATAAAAGTTTCATTATTTTTTCTGGTTTAATGTAGAATTAGAAATGATGCTTAGAGTTTTATTTTGCTTTTGTGAGATGTCCCCATTTGCAATTTATAATTACTGGGTTTAGATCTAAGACATTCCAATTTCTTTTGGAAATTTTTAAAGTCTATTCACTGTTTGAATTTTGTTGCAGTGTAAGTTTTTAGCAGTTTCTAAATTGGTATTTGTACTGTTACTTTTTAAAAATGATGTGCACTAAGAAATAAACTATAGTTTTAAGATCTATGTTATATACTTTATCTGTATAAGCTTGCTTATCCATCCATCCATCCATCCATCCATCCATCCATCCATCCATCCATCCATCCATCTATCTATCTATCTATCAATCATTTTTTTGAGATAAGGTTTCTCTGTGTACCCCTGGCTGTCCTGGAACTCACTCTGTAGATCAGGCTGGCCTTGAACTCATAAACATCCACCTGCCTCTGCTTCCGGAGTGCTGAGATTAAAGATGTGTGTCACTCCTGGTGGGCTCCTGTATAGGCTTTTTAAAGGTTAAATTAGATGTGCAGTTGGGAAAATAAGAAATATACATGGACATGAACGTACTACATCTGGGATATTAGTTTATTGCAGATTTTTCCTTGTAACAGTTTATTGTAGTTTGCTTATTAATACTTCATATATTGAAGTTAATCTCTGCCAAGAGGTTGTTAAAAAGTAATTTCCAGGGTATTTGAAAATAATTTAAATAACCTGTTAGGAATGTATAATCCACTTATATGAGTATAAATACTTTTAAATAAAGTATTATTAAGGGGAAATGTCTATTTAAATTGACTAGTTTCAGAATGGACACACTTAGTAACTGATCAAAATGCTAAACTTTTGGTTTTTTTTACTAACTCAATTGATGTATAATTTTTAGTGCCTCTTTTATTTGAAAGTGTTTCCTTTATTTTGAAATAAATGGATTAATTACTTATGAAAAAGGAAAATTATAAAATTAATAATTCTTAAGCCTGTTAGTTAATATATAGTATATACTTATTACCATGGTACACTTTTACAGTTTTCAAAAATGCTTACATAGTAAGCTGGTTGTGGTGGCTTACGCTTATAGTTCTAGCACTTAAGAGACTGAGGTAGGAGAACAAATAGTTCTAGACTACTTTGGACGACATACTGAATTCCAGCAAGATCCTGTGTCAAAAACAACCAGATGAAAATAACAACCAAAACTGAAAACAGCACCCACTCCCAATAATTTGTGTAGGTTATTAAAAAGGATGCCTGTCTGTTTAGTGTATCAGTTTCTGGCAGGATTTTATGTAGTGTGTAGGAAGAAGTAGGAACTCACTTGGTGCACTTTAAAAAAAAAAATCATTCAGCATTTTTGTTACTTTGAGGTTCTTGAAAAAACAGAAATCCAGTTGCATTGATTGACTTGGGCAAGTCAGTGCCCCAAAGTTGAGAAATCTGTTCTATGACTGTGCTCATTAGTGTGGTCAAGTTTTTAAAATCTGCAGATGGGCCTTTGAGCATGTCTATGAAGGATTGTCCAGGTTGTGTTGACTCAGGTGGGAAGGACTGTGTGACCCCAACCTAGGCAGTGGAGTAGAGAAAGAAGTTGGATTCTAAATGCACGTGTTCAACGTTGCTCTGTTTCTGTTTATGGATTGTGGGTTTCATGTGAGCAGCTCTCTTAGGCTCCTGCTTCAGTGACTTCCTTGCCACTAAAACTTGAAACTGTGGGCTCAATAAACTCTTCCGCCCTTAAGTTGCTTTTGTCAGAGTATTTAATTACAACAGCATGAAAAGAAATGGAGACGGTAAACTTTATAAGTTTGTCGGAAGGACTTAGCTAAGTTAAATATCTGAGAGACAAACTTAACCATAAATCTTATTTATATTTTTTAATTAATTAATGAATTTTTAATGTGTACAGTTGTCTGTGCATCACATACATGTCTGGTGCCTGCAGAGGCCAGAAGAGGGTGTTAGATTCCCTGGGACTGGAGGTACAGACAGTTGTGCGCTACCTTGTGAGTGCTGAGAATCGAATGGGGGTTTTCTGTAGGAGCAGCAAGTGTCTTAACTATTGAACTTGTCTGTAGTCAGAAGTTTTTCTGTGTCCCCCCCTCTCCCAGTCCCGCAGCCACTGGGACCCAAGTAAAATATACAGAGGTTTATATTATTTACAAACTGTATAATCTATGGTAGGTCTCTTGCTAGCTAGCTCTTATTATTTTTTTTTGTTTTTGTTTTTGTTTTTCGAGACAGGGTTTCTCTATAGCTTTGGAGCCTGTCCTGGACTAGCTGTGTAGACCAGGCTGGCCTCGAACTCACAGAGATCTGCTTGGCTCTGCCTCCCAAGTGCTGGGATTACAGGCGTGTGTCACCACCGCCCGGCTAGCTCTTATATCTTAAATTAACCCATTTCTGTTAATCTATGTTTTGCCACGTGTTCCATGGCTTATCCATCTGCTGGCATGTTGTTCCTTGGGTAGCAGGCTGGTGTCTCCTCTTAGACTCTGCCTTTCTCTTTCCTCTCTCTCTCCTTGGATTTCCTGTCTGCCTCTAAGCGGCCTTGCCATAGGCCAAAGCAGCTCATTTATTAACCAATGGGAACAATATATATTCACAGGGTACATACAGAAAGACATCCCCCAGCACTTCTCTGACCCCTATTTTCTTTCTTTTTTGAGATGAAGCTTTGCTGTGTTGCCCAGTCTACCCTTGAGCATCCTCCTGCCTCAGCCTCCCGTGGGTCAGGACTAACAGTGTATACCACTATGCCTGCCTTAGTTTTGTTTCTAGGTTTCTTGTAAATAGAGATTGAGACTCAAAATACTGTGAGGTATGAATGAGAACTTAAATGTTAAGACAAGCTTGATTTTGAATAAAAAATAATGAGTAGGATGTGTGAAGTTGTTAAATTACCTGTATTTACTATGCAAATATGTTATTATTCTGTCAGATTTTTAACCAGTATTAGCAATTGAAAATTCATATTTTAAGCATATTGTTTTCATATATAATCTATATAAGTGGTAAAAGTTTGATCATTTTTCTATAAACTGATAATAAACATTAGTGAATTTTCACCATTATTATGTTTTGAAGCATTTAAAATTGAAATATATTATTTAAAGTAAAGGTCATTGAGGATACATTTTAATTGAAACAGGCTTCATAAACTAGGAGGTAGGCTAAACAGAAATAGGAAAATATCTATATAAAATAATAATTTTAAGAATCTTTAGCTTCGTCTGAGGATGTAGGGGAGTGGTAGACCACTTGCTTAATGTACAAAAGCTCCGAAGGCCTGACTTTAATCTCTGGGATTGTAAAAATAAAAGTGCTTAGGTAGGATCGGCTGTCTTTGTTTATGGTGACCATTTAGTCTTCCATGTACTGTGCCATCTGCTTATCAACTTAAAGATTATTGGGTTACTAATGGCTTTATTTCATTTACTAATTTCATGTTGTTGATTATTGTTGTTTGTAAGCATTTAACTAATGGTTTCATAGTCTTTCAACATTATGTTGAACTACTAATCTAATGGAAAGCTATGATATAAAAAATATATAATATGTGCATGTGTTTCTGAAATGTGATAAACATTTTTAAAAAAAGACAAAGATTGGCTAAAGAATTTTCCAAATATTTTGGTTTTAAATTCAATATGACATTATTGAGAAAGGATAGCCTCATTTGCACATGCTCATTATTATATTTTAAAATATAGTATGTCTGGTTAATGTTTGACCTAAAGACATCATTTGAAGACTTTGAAAATCATATTGTGTGTTTGCATGGTCTTAGAAAGTTTCTCACAAAGATTAAAAGCTAGAATTACAGTGGTAAAAGTATACAAGTCATGTGATTTTGTACTCTATGTTCTCTTGTTTTTCTCTAGTCTGCATTGGATTGGTGGCCCAAGATTGATGCTGTCTATTGTCACTCAGTTGAACTTCGAAGTATGTTTGGTGAAACACTTCATAAAGCAGTGCAGGGCTGTGGAGCGCACCCAGCAATACGGATGGCACCAGTAAGAAACCCTGGGTTTTGAGTTCACCTGTCCACTGCGTCTTCAGGGTCTTCATCTCATTGCTGCGGACTTGCGTTTAGAGGGTCGGCTGGCTCTTTCCTTCCATGAATGTTCTGTGTGGTGTAATACAGTGCCACTGCTGGTGATTAACAGGATCTGTTTTTCACTGTGTTTGTTAAGTGAGCTGAATTTTCTTTAAGAAAAATTTCCAGAAAATGCTAATAATATCCTAGTGAATGTCACCTTTCTTCTGTTTTCACTTGAACTTTTTCTTACTCAGATGTTTTGATTTGTTTCTTACTTTCAAGGATGAGCAATGCAACCAGACCCGTGGGTTAGAGTGAATGTCCTGATGCTGAATAGTACACAGAAAATTAGAAACAGACTGAAACAATTTCTACTCAAAGATATATACATTTTAGTAAATACGATCATTCAGTAAAATTTGAGCAAAAATTGATAGGCACTTTGACATTGATGTTTATTTAAGCTTAACAAAGGCATACTTTGAAATTGTGTTCCAAGAGATGGGTTACTACGGAAAGCTCATGGGAAGTGAGTAGTTTTCGCAGCTAGTCAGGGTTGTATTTCTGTATTGTGATTTCTGTCTGTGTGTAGGAAGAGTATTTACATGGCAACTCTTCATTGATTGGTGGTGCTTTGTCTTCTGCTTATTTTCTGTTCTTATTGGCTGCTGTCGCTCACATGGCCAGATGCCACCCAGTCACTGCTTTGCATGGCAGTGGGCTTCTGTGGCTGTAAGTAAGTATATATGACCCCTTGGAACTACCTCAGAAAAGTCTGTTCTTTCTTTGACTTTTCTGTGTATAGTTACCTTGTAGTCATATCATGTCATTTCAAAAGAAAATATAGTATGTCTTCACCTGTTGGTTTTATCTAATAAACTATCCATCTCACACTTGTAATTTAAACAGCTTCCTCCCTGGCATGCTTCTCTTTCCAAGTTCCTATCATCAGTATACAGAATACACAAAATACTTGGTTTTATACGGTTAGGTTCGTTCCTATCCAGTTGTAGCAGCAGTTTTTGAGGATTTAAAAAACATAGCAGCTGTTCAAATGAAGACGTTTTCTATTCAAGCAGCTTTGGCATTATTGATCCTAAAAGCAATAGCTGAAAGGACAGGTCATGGTTTGTTCGTTTATTTGTTTTCCTTCAGTGATAGAGATCAGTCTTAGGTCCCCCATGAATGCCAGACATATACTATACTATATCTCCTGCCCAGTGGTATTTTATTAAATAAAATTTCATATGCAAGCTTACTTTAGTTGACTTTTTGTGATGGCAAGGACACAGTATCTTTTTAATTAAAAAATTTGTTACAGGTGTATATGTTACCATTAACATATATAATGGCTATGTAAATCTTACTTAACTAGACATTATTTTCTTTAAGCTTTAGTAATTCTTTTGACTCATCCCCACCTTTGTTTTTGCATTAGGAGAGCATGCTAACAGTCAAAACTGGGGCCTCTACTATGCACACCTGGACCACTGAGCGGTAACTCCAACACCAGATTACTGTGTGTTGGGATATAGCTCAGTGGTTAAGTGCTTACCTAATATGCATTGGCCGTTAGGATCAATTTTCAACATTGCAAAGGAAGACTTTGTATTTATTACCTAAGTTTATTATACATCTTATGCTGGTAAGAGATATAATGGAATTGGTGAAAGTTTCATATTTGCTTCCTGTTTTATAGCTTGCTAATACCTCTGCCATTTAATTTTTTTTGAAGATTTGTTTATTTATTATGTACACAAAAGAGGGTGCCAGATCTCACTACAGATGGTTGTGAGCCACCATGTGGGTGCTGGGAATTGAACTCAGGCCCTCTGGAAGAATAGTCGGTGCTCTTAACCTCTGAGCCATCTCTCCAGGCCCGCCATTTAATTTTTATGCATAACTGCTGACACAAAATGAACCTCATTCTTTTGAACAGTCACAGATTTGCTTGATGGTCTGATATATTTTACATTTAGAAGTTTCTTAGATTTGGTTGTTAGTTGACCCTATGAGCCCTACGGTATACTATGATCACTGTTTCCTTAAATCTGTAACTAGAGAGAATGGCTTGTGGTTCAAGAACATCAATGATAGGAATTTTGTTTTATGTCTATTCTTATTGTTATTTTTGGAAGTAGCAATATACATTTAATTTTCAGAATTACTTTTAAACTTCTTTTTTTTTTTGAGATACAGGCCATGGAGCTTTGGCTGACCTTGAACTCACTGTCTTCCTGCTTCCACCTTCCCAGTGTTTTCTAAGAGTCATTTTTGTTATTTTTAATTACATGAGTGTATGTGTGGGTAGGTGCACATGAGTGTAGGTGCCCATGGAGGCCAGAGGCATAAAATCCCCCCCCCCCAAGCTGGAGTTGCAGGTGATTGTGAGCCACCTGAGCGGAGTGCCAGGGACTGAACTTGATCTCCTGGTAAAGCTCCTAACCACTGAGCCATCTCTCTAGCTCTTTCCAGTGTTTTAACGCTTTGTATATTCCTATATATAGAATTTTGATTTTGTTTTTGTCTTTTTTTGTTGTTTTGTTTTTGTCTTTTTTTTTTCCTTTTTTTCGAGACAGGGTTTCCCTGTGTAGCTTTGTGCCTTTCCTGGAACTCACTTGGTAGCCCAGGCTGGCCTCGAACTCACAGAGATCCGCCTGCCTCTGCCTCCCGAGTGCTGGGATTAAAGGCGTGCACCACCACTGCCTGGCCTAGAATTTTGAATGTGTGTGTGTGATGGCTGTAGGAAAAATTTCTGGTTATTTGTTTGTTTTGTTTTTTGAGGAAGGGTTTCTCTGTGTAACAGCCCTGTCTGTCCTGGAACTTGATTTGTAGACCAGGCTGGCTTTGAACTCACAGAGATCTGTTTGCCTCTGCCTCCCAAGTGCTGGAATTAAAGGCATGTATCACCACTGCCCAGCCCTGGTTAATATTTTTAATCAGAGAAAGTGGAAAATCACTCTGACTTACTTATATAGAGTAAGGAAATTTTAGAGTTTGTGAATCCTTAAGGTAAGCAGCATTTCTCTCTGCTTATGTATGAATAGGTGACAGATGTGCCTGCTGCTAATGCTAGGATCATGGGCTATTTCTTATTTGCATTGCTTCAAATGATTTGGAGACTTAGGAATCTGCGCCTTCACTTTGCTGCAGAAGTAGCAATCTAGAAGTTTTGTGTAGCTGGGCATAATGGAACATACCTTATTCCTAGCTCTTGGGTGGCATAGGCAAGCAAATCTCCATGAATTCGAGGCCAGCCAGGACTACATAGTAAGATCTTGTTTCAAAAAACAGTTCTGTGTATCAAAATGTAAACTAATATGTGTTTCAAAGCCTGACAACTGCCTACAATTTTGGAGGTAAGTTAATTGGTACAAAGCAGTAGTTACTTAGGGGCTGGAGAGATGGCTCAGCAGTTAGGAGCACTTGTTGCTCTTAGAGAAGACCTAACTATGGTTCCCAGCTCCCATAAGGTGGCTCATGAAGATTCTTCTCTCTAGTTCCAGGGGATCTGGCACCTCTTCTGAACCTTGCCAGCACCAGCATGTGCGTGGTGCACATGCATACACACACAAGCAGGCAAAACACACATGTACACATTTTTTTAAAGCCAAAAAACTAATTACTTCGATTTTGTTTTTCTTCACCAAGATAAAAATAGGTTGTTAGTTTTTGATTCTGCTATAGAGCAGCCCTGAAGCTGTTTTGAATAAACTTAACCAGTTTCCTAAGAGTTTTTATTATATATAGCTTGCATTGGGTGGGATTTTATTGTTTCAACTCTTTGAAAATGTTTTGTTTGATTTGTTTCGATAACTAAGCAAACTAAGGCCAAATATTTTTAAGGAATTACAGTGTCACATGAATGTTCGAGCAGAGTTCGTTCTGAGGGTTTTTTTTGATACCCAGCCTCGTCTCTGCTCTGCTCCTTGGTTGTTCTACCTCAGTAGCAGGTTAGCTTGGTGGATAATGAAGCTTGTGTGTGTGAATGAATCAGTGGATGAACTTCTTACTTGACTGAACTAAAAATTTCTCTATCTGGGTTATTTCTCTCCCACAAAACCAGTTTAAAATTTTAGATTCAGATGACCGTTTAAAGATTTGTCTTCATAATGTTTGTCTGGGTACCATGCTTCTAAGGACTGTTTTAAAGGTTGCTTTTTTTTTTTTTTTTTTTTTTTTTTTTTTTCCAAAAGGGGTTTTTTTTTTTGGTTTTTCCAGATAGGGTTTGTCTGTGTAGCTTTGCGCCTCTCCTGGAACTCACTTGGTAGCCCAGGCTGGCCTCGAACTCACAGAGATCCACCTGGCTCTGCCTCCCGAGTGCTGGGATTAAAGGCGTGCGCCACCACCGCCCGGCGCCTAAAGGTTGCTTTTGATATGGGAACTCACTGGTTTCATGAGTACTGTTCCCATGTTTACTTCTTTTTTGTTTTTTGTACTTTAGTAGTATTTTTAAATTTTTGAAATATTTGTGTCATCAGTAATTTATATTTTAAAACTAGAAATATACTTTAATAAAATTCAAAGGTGAAGTTTTTTACTTTTGTTATAGGTGGGATTTTGGCATAGATGTTTCTTACCATGCCTGTAAGTCAGTTTCATAGTCTTAAGTTAGCAGGTGGTTTCAGTTCCTAATTGACTGCCTGAACCTCTGCCTTAGGGGTTTCTTCCCTGGCATAGTGGACTGTCTTTTTCACCCAAGAGCATGTATCAGGTTAGATCCTAAAATGAAGGGTTGTTTTTTTTCTTGTTTTTTACATTTCTACTAAAGAAACAAGTTTGTTTGTTTTTGTTTTTGTTTTTTTGTTAAGCAGCAAATTATTCTGGACATTATAAAACCCACTAATGGCTAGTCAATTAAAATAAGTATTTGAAATTCCTCAAGTTTTAGCTTTCCTACTAGTCAGTCATACCATAGAACAAAATCTACATGTTAGTACCTGACATTCAACTAAAAATTACTTACTTACAAAATGATTACTAAATCAGAGAAAATTTTTCTGTCGACTGATTGTCCTCAGTCGTGTGGTTCCTGTGCAGTGGTGATATCACATCAATTACATCATAGTGAATTTGTTCAGTGAAGGTTTCACCTTGATTCAGGCTAGAGAGACAGACAGACAGACACACTCAGACATATCTATGGTTTAACAAGAACAAACACTACACAGAACTTACTAAATACATCTGGTAGACATTTGCCTTGGTGCTGGAGAGTTTGAGTATTTTATTCCTTTTTTTTTTTTTTTTTTCAAGACAGGGTTTCTCTGTGTAGCTTTGCGCCTTTCCTGGAACTTGCTTTGGAGACCAGGCTGGCCTCGAACTCACAGAGATCCGCCTGCCTCTGCCTCCCGAGTGCTGGGATTAAAGGCGTGCGCCACCACCGCACTTGAAAATTGAGAACTGTGTATGTTGTGGGATGTCTCATCTCTAATTGTTAATTGAAAGAAAACTGTCTGCAGAGATGTTTGTCATGGCTAAGTAAAGGCTGCATAATCTGCTGTCCCTGTATCTATCTATATGTGCTCACTGCCAGCTCCCAGGCCCTGTATCTATATGTGCTCACTGCCAGCACCCAGACCCTGTATCTATATGTGCTCACTGCAGTCACCCAGGCCCTGTATCTATATGTGCTCACTGCAGTCATCGAGGCCCTGTATCTATCTATATGTGCTCACTGCAGTCATCTAGGCCCTGTATCTATCTATATGTGCTCACTGCAGTCATCCAGGCCCTGTATCTATATGTGCTCACTGCAGTCACCCAGGCCCTGTATCTGTATGTTCTCGCTGTAGTCACCCAGGCCCCGTATCTATATGTGCTCACTGCCAGCACCCAGCCCCTGTATCTATATGTGTTCACTGCTACAAATTATTTTATTTTATTTTTAAAATTTCTTACTTTTATGTGCATTGGTATTTTGTCTGCAGGTATATCTGTGTGATAATGTCAGATCTTGGAGTTACAGACAGTTGTGAGCTGCCATGTGGGTGCTGGGATTTGAACTCTTGTCCTCTGGAAGAGCAGTCAGTGCTCTTAACTGCTTAGCCAACTCTCCAGCCCCTGGATTTTTTTTTTTTTTTTTTTTTTGCTGACATCCAGTATTAATTATTTAATTGACCATAGTATCTCTGTAACTGAACCACATTGTCACTGAAGAGTTCTGTTTTACGAATAGTCTTAGGCAAAAAGTCAAATGCATGCATTCTATAACTTGAAAGAGGAAATGCCATCAAAACAAAAAAGCAAATTCATAACCAAGCTATAAATACAGAGGTTGCCTACAGAGAATGTTTCATGAGTTCTAAAGAGTGTACTTTTACTTCTGTCTGAAAGTAGATGTTTATCTCCCTTTGTGCAGTATCCTGGGATTCAAAGTAGCCTTTCATTTCTTTTACTACAGACAAGAAGTGATGCATCTTACAAATGATAATGTTGCACAGTTTATAGGATATTTGTGTGTGTATATGTGTGCGTGTGCGTGTATGATAAGTGCTTGCTAATTTGAGTTCCCCATTATGTATAATATGTATGTAAGATATAGACCCAATATTTTTCCTTACATTTTCATATTTTGAAAGTCAGTTTTTTAACCCAGGAGCCAACTTGATATTATGCCTTTAGTCCTTTAGATTTTCATTAAAGCTTACTAGATTATTATATAAGAATAATGTAAATGCTATAAAATCATTTTTTCAAATGCAATGATAAATTTATGCTTATTAGCCTACGTCTACTAATAGCCATTTGGTGGTATGAAATGTGTCTGTTTTCAAAGCTTTTTAAATAATTTCTTCTATAAAATATAGCTGTTACTCTGAATCTGATTCTCACTAAGATGCTGTCATGTTTTTGTTTTGTTACTAGAGTCTTACATTTAAAGAAAAGGTAACAAGCCTTAAATTTAAAGAAAAGCCTACAGATCTGGAGACAAGGAGCTATAAGTGCCTTCTTTTGTCCATGGTGAAACTAATTCATGCAGATCCAAAGCTTTTGCTTTGTGTAAGTATTTTTAATGAAATGCTTTGAAATTATTCCACTAATTTAGTTGAATTAAAAGGACAAAATCCTTTCTAATCATAAGTAACAACCTCTAAGACATTGCCAAGAAAACTCATTTCCAGAGAATTGTAATAGAATTAGACCACCTTTCCTAACCTTCCCCTTCCTTATCGTTGAATGACTTTAGTGGCATCATTGTCCTTGGTCTGTTTTAGATCATGCATTATGATCAGGTGTACTCCTGGGGTCAAGTGGAACAAGCAACTATAAAAGCAGTGTGCTCTGCATCTACACCACTCATGGTTTTTTCTATTACTGAGCAAATTAGCATTTATAGCTAGTTCCCTGTTTTCCGTCACCAGCCTCTATCACTGTATTAGAAGAGAAAGTAAAATGAGAGTGGTTATTCAGTTATTGCCGTAACTCTGCTTTTTATTGCCTCAGATGATACTAGATTCCTGAGAACATCACTTTGGTACACAGAGGAATACAATGTCAATACTGTCACCAAGTGATAGTTACAGGAAAGGATTAAATGTATGGGCTCTGAAGAAAGACTAGTTAGTAGCAGGTGGTTTACTTTAACCTTTGCCCCTTAGGTTTTTCACCTGAAATAGTAGGTAATAATAGCTTCTACTGCAGAGAGATCCTTCAGGAGAGTGAACTAGCATGTATAGAGCTTTGAGGAACAATTCCTGGCATATAATAAGTGATAAGGTTGGTTGCTGCTACTATTAATAAGAGACATTTATGTTCTTCCTAATGTTCAAATAAAACTATCTGAATTGTTAATAGGATGATATGTTTAACATTTCTCAGGATCCCTAATCCTTGGAGAACACTGTCAAGTAACATTTCTAATTGGTGTACTCAGTGCCATGCTTTTCAAATGCTTTGGTGTTTTACACTTTTGCTGCTATGCTTTTCAAATAACTAAAATACAGGCATTCATAACTAAATGCCTATGGTTTCAAGAATAATATGAACTCCCATGTTTGTGTGTGTGCATACGCTTTTTGAAACAGTCTTGCTGTGTATCCTGTGTTGACCTTGAACTCAACATCCCTGCTGGTAATACAGGACTATATCATCATGCCTCCACTCCAGAATTTTAAAAATATTTACACATGAGAAATTTTTCTGGTAATGACATAATAGAGACAGAGAGGCTGAAGTTCCCAAAGGATCAACCCCAAAAGAAAATCTATGAGCTTTTTGAGCTTTTTTAAAAGCCTACCAAAATTTTGAGATTGTAGTAGAAGGGTTACATCATTGACTTGGAAAAATTACATACAATTTGTCAGTGGACTCTGAAATAATAACACTTCTTTTCTTGGTTTCTCTGGTGTGTGGCATGAGTTATGGCATCTCACTATGAATGTCACAGAATACTGGGGTTACTTTGTTTACATGGCTGTAATTTATGTTCAACAATAAACCAAACTCACCAGTGTTTTTCATGTTAAGAAGTTTATTGTTTGAAGAACAAGAGTTGAATTGTTTGAGGCAAAGAAGTTTAAGTAAAATTTGCTATTTTCCAAGAATTATGGAAATCCTTTTTGTTTTCCTTGATGATGTTGGGGATTGAACCAGAGTCTAGTAGTCTTGTCATGCCTGCAGATGCTCTACCACTGGTCTGACCCTCCTTGCCCTTTGTGGGGCTTTTGTTTTGTTTGGTTGAGTTGGCTGGGTGGGTGGGGTTTTGTTTGATTGGCAATTTGTCACTATATTTGACAGCATCCTAGCTCCATGGAAATTGCTTCCTTTGCTGCCATCTAGTGGTTAAGTAACTTTCCCCAGTAACCATAGGAAAAAGAATATTTACAGATAAATTCTAAACCTTCATTAATAAGAGAAATATAAACATGGTCTCAATCATGGTATTTTTAAAGTAATACAATTCTGTCTTCTCTTTTTACCATCTTTGTCCTGATTTGTGTTACTCCATGTTTTCCACCTTTCTCATTAACTGCCATCGTTTCTTACATCTCTATCTCTACTCTAAGTTATAGTGTCCACTTTATGGAGACCTCACTGACTGGGCCACATTCTCAGCCTCTGAATCTCCTGGCAGAGGGTATTTTGATAGTTCTTACCTCATTTGCAGTTTGGTATTTATTTAGTAATTTAATTAATGCTTGTTTTCCTCATGAGACTATTGGGAGACAGGAGACATCTCTTCCTTTCTTCCTTCCTTCCTTCCTTCCTTCCTTCCTTCCTTCCTTCCTTCCTTCCTTCCTTTCGCTTTCTTGCTTTCTTCTCCTTCTTCTTCCTCTTCTTCTTTCTCCTCCTTCTCCTCTTTTTTGTCTTTTTCAGGCAATGTCTCTTTTATTATGCAACTCTCTCTGTACTGGAACTTGATGTGTAAGCCAGGCTGGCCTCAAACTCACAAAGATACACCTGCCTCCTGAGTGCTGGGACTAAATTCATGTGCCACCATGCCCGGCAGCATCTGTTCTTGTTTGTTTTTGCTCTTTTGGGGGGCCCACCACTCAGCCCCCAAATAAATCACACAAGAAGGCTTATTCTTAATTATGAATACCAGCCTTAGCTTAACTTATTTATAGCCAGCTTTCCTTAACTTAAATTATCTCGTTCATCTTTTGCCTCTGGGCTTTTATCTTTCCTATTCCTGTCTACCTTTCTTTGTCTCTTACTCTGTGGCTTGCTCTGTAGCTGGGTGCCTGGCCCCTGGAGTCCTCCTCCTTCTCTGGCTACTTCTTGATCTCTCTTCAGATTTCTCCTTCTATCTAGTCTCTCTGCCTGCCAGCCCTGCCTTTCTCCTGCCTTGCCATTGGCCGTTCAGTTCTTTATTAGACCATCAGATGCCTTAGACAGGCACAGTAACACAGCTTCACAGAGTTAAACAAATGCAATATAAACAAAAGTAACACACCTTAAAATAACATTCCCCAACAGGCATCTTTCTTTTTTATTGCTATGTCTTTGCTGTTCAACAAATTCTATAGAGTTATAAATGAATAGTGAACATCAGAAAATGGACAGGCTTTTGTAATTACAGTTATACTAGGTGAGAATATATGTTAGATATTATAACGAAGAATATGTAATCAACAAATAAAATACAGATATAAGTTCAGTTGGTTTCACTTAAATGAATCATATGTTCTTTTTCTCTTTGTTTTTCCAAATAAGGTCTCCCTGTGCAGCCCAGGCTGCTCCTGAACTCAGGAGCCGCATGACTTGGCCTGCTAATTGCTGGGACTACAAGTGTACACTCTCATGACATCAAACCATATATTATTTAAGTGTAAATAGAGTTTTACAATTATCAGAAACAGTTTGTTGAATAGGTAAACTTCATATTTAGGAAGAGTAGTAATTTCTTAGTACATGATGGCATTTTTCCACAGTGACTGGAGTATTGCTTTGTTTAGATGTGGATTCAAGTTTTTCTTTAACATGGCTATGTAGATTGTATTGTTTAAGACAGGGTTACATGTATCTCAGGCTGGCCTCTGATTCATTATGTAGTCAAAGGTGACCTTGAATTTTTGATCCTCTTACTTCTGTCTCCCAAGTGCTGGAATATAGCCCAGAGCTTTCTGTGTGCTAAGCAAACATTCTACCAACTGAGCTACATCCCCAGCCCAGCTGTATGCACTGAACAGGACTTAACCCTTGGATTCCTGATGTGTGCAGTTTTCTCTTTTTCCCTTGTGGTTCTGGGATTGAAATTTAGCATTCTAGTATTGATTTATATGTCTAGCCTCTAATATATTTTCTTAGTTGAAAAGCTAGTGTCTATTCAATTAGGAGTCTACTGATATGACGTTTGTTAACAGAACTGCAAATTAAGAGAACCCTCAATAAATCTGATTTTTAAAAAAATTATATAAAATTATATATATAGTTTGTTGGTATTTGAGACAAGGTTTCTCTTTGTAGCCCTGACTGTCCTGGAACTCACTCTGTAGACCAGGCTGGCTTCAAACTCATAGAGATCTTCCTGCCTCTGCCTCCCAAGTACTGAGATTAACGGCATGTGGCACCACTGCCTGACTTAAAAACAGTATATTTTTATTGAGTTATGATTCACATAGCCACAAATGCCCAGCTTAAAAAAATTGTGTTTTTGTTGAGTTACAATTCACATACTATAAAAAGACATCATTTCATGGTAAGGTTATAGCTTGCTTCACATTTCGTGAATGAGGCCATAGGTTCAACCCTTAGTACTTACCCCCTCCACTCCTGTTTGTCATTTATAGAACATTTTCATCATCTCTAAAGGAAACTGTAGCTGTTTACAGTTGGTCTTTACTTTGTGCCTCATAATCCTGCCAATACATTCTTTTAAAAATTGAAGTTTGAACCAGGAAGTTCAAACATGCCTTTAATCCCAGCACTCAGGAAACAGAGGCAGGCAGATCGCTGAGTTCAGGCCAGCTTGGTCTACAGAGTGAGTTCCAGGACAGCCAGTGCTACACAAAGAAACCTTTTCTCAAAAACAAAACAAAATAAAATGAAGTTTGAAGGAGCTGGGGAGATGACGTGGTGCTTAAGAGCACTTCCTACTTTTCCACGGTTCCTGAGTTGTGTTCCCAGCACCCATATCAGTTTCTGGGCATCCAACACTCTCTTCTATTGCCGTGGCCACCTGGATACATGTGCAATATACACATACATATATGTAAATAAATAAATTCAATACAAAATAAAATTTGCTTTTCTCTTACAGAATCCAAGAAAACAGGGCCCTGAAACTCAAGGCAGTACAGCAGAATTAATTACAGGGCTTGTCCAACTGGTCCCTCAGTCACACATGCCAGAGATCGCTCAGGAAGCGATGGAGGTAAGGGGAAGTGAATTCAAGGCTCTTGAAAGAAAGAATGTAACTGTTTCCATTCTTCTGTTTTCTAGGTCCTTTATTTTTCAAACAATTATGGACCCTTTCTATATGCTTTTTAAAAACTATATTTAACAAATTTTTAAATTGTGTGTGTGTGTGTGTGTGTGTGTGTGTGTGTGTGTGTGTGTGTGTGTACAAGTATAGTGCCTGCAGGAGCCAAAAAAAGGTGTTGGAATCCCTGGAGCTGGGATTACAGGCCATTGTGAGCCACCTGATGTGGGTGCTAGAACCTTCACTTGGGTCCTCTGCAAGAACCTGTACACTCTTAATTCCTGAGCCCCTGAGCTATCTCTCTAGCCCCTCTTGGTACTTTTTTGATGTTCTTTGGTGTATAGTTTCAGTGAGGAAACTGAAATGGATATCTGTTCTGGAAATGACATGTTTGTGTCTTTATGTTTTACAAGCTCTGTAGAGGGTCTATTTATTTGCTGTATATTATAATAGCAACAAAATAGCATTGTACTAATTATTGTAAATGGAGGCTTTTCTCTGTCCTGCCCCATCCCGCATCCATTTCCAAATAACTACTCAGAGGCTTATATTAATTATAAATATTTGTCTGATGGCTCAGGCTTATTACTAGTAAGCTCTTACATTTAAATTAACCCATATTTCTTATTTGTGCTTTGCCACGTAGTTCGTGGCTTTTACTTCATTTTCTATACATCTTGCTTCCTCAGTGGCTGGCTGGCATCTGCCCCGACTTGGTCCTTCTTCATCTCCAATTTGATTATACCACCTAACCTTATTCTGCCTGGTTATTGGCCAAAATAGCTTTATTTATCAACCAATGAGAGGAACACATATTCACAACGTACAGAAGAACCATCTCACAGCAAATTATTTTCTAAGACTTACTTACTTGATCATTATTTTGTGTATTGTTTTGTGTGCATGTATATAGGTGTGCTGTGTGTGTGTGTGTGTGTGTGTGTGTGTGTGTGTGTGTGTGTGTGTGTGCATTGTCTGAGGATGCCAGAAGAGGGTAGTGTTTTTGGTTTTGGTTTTGGTTTTAAATTGTGTGTGAATATGGAGGTCAGAAAAAACTCAGGTTTCTGGCCTTGGGTGGCAAATACGTTTACCAGCTGTAACATCTCACCAGCCCCTACAGTTTCTTTTACATTTGTTTGTTTGTTTGTTTTTGGGATGAAATTTTGACTATATTTTCCTGTCTGGTGTCTAAACCCTAAAGCAGTCCTCCTTCATCTCCTTTATTAGTTGAAACTAGACTTGTGTGTCACAAGCCATGTTGTATTTAGATTGCATTGTGTAAAAAATTTTGGAAGTGTATGGTTTCTTGATTCCTTAAATTGATTGTCATGTCTGCACATGATGGGGGTAGGGTGTGTGTGGACTTGCAGTGGCACACGTCTGGAAGTCGGGGCAACCTTGTGGGGTTGATCTTCTCCTTCCACCTTTACGTGGGTTCTAGGGATTGTACTGAGGTCTTCAGGCTTATGTAATAGGTACTTTTAGGTGATGAGCCACAGGTAGTTGATGATGGACATTCAACATTATTTCTATTTGAGGGTTGCTACAAATAATGCTGTTAAAGTTACTGTATCATCTTGTATTTTCATTAGCAGTGTACTAGTGTTTTGGTATTTCTCCATCCTTGCTGACACTTGTATTGTCTGTTGTCAAATTATAGCCAGTTTACCGTGTTAACAAAGTTGATTTTTTAAAAAAATTATATTTATAGCTGGGCTCGTGCCTTTAATCCCATCACTCAGGATGCAGAAGCAGGTGTATTTCTGAGATTGAAGCCAATCTGGTCTACAGAGTGAGTTCCAGCCGGCACAGCCAAGACTACACAGAGAAACCCCATCTGAAAACAACAAAATTACCTTTAATTATTTATTGTGTGGGGGTATATACATGTAGAGGTCAGAGGATAACTTACAGGAGTTGGTTTTCTCTTTCCACCACTGGGTCCCAGGGATTGAACTCAGATTGTCAGGCTTGGCTGCTAGTGCACCTCCTGAACCACCTCATCAGCTAGCTCAAAGTTCACTTTTCAAAGTTATTTTTAGATTGACAACTTAAAAGTATGTCTTTAATCTAAATAAAATGTATTGATGTATAGTTTACATATAGTTACTAATTTAAGATTTAGAATCTTTCTATTCATCCCAGAAAGTTCCCTTTCTGCAGTTAGTACTCCTACTCTTGTTGTCCACATGTATTGGTCTGAGTCTGTCACTCTTGGTTAGTTCTGCAAGTCTGTAGTTCATGAATAGAATCCATCAAATGTGATCTTACTTTGCCCCCCACCTTAAATTAGGAAGTAATTTGTATTATTTTTTATAGTCTTATATATTGTTGCACATGGTCGTTCCTTTTTCCTGATTGTTATGAATATTCCATTCATTCATTGATGGGCTCATTGGTAGACAGCATCCACTTCTAATGAACGTTAACCTTATATTCCTTTGCAGTCCTCATCCTGTTTCACCCCTTGTCTGCCCTTGGCCTCCTTTGTAATCATTGATTTGCTCTATTAATGTAGATTAGTTTGTATTTTATATAGGGGGAATAAAAGTTCTTATTTGTAATTCAGCATAATTGCTGTGGCTATATTGCATTACTAGTTGATTTTTTTTTTTTTTTGGTTTTTGGTTTTTCGAAACAGGGTTTCTCTGTGTAGCTTTGCGCCTTTTCCTGGAACTCACTTGGTAGCCCAGGCTGGCCTCGAACTCACAGAGATCCTCCTGCCTCTGCCTCCCGAGTGCTGGAATTAAAGGCGTGCGCCACCACCGCCCGGCTACTAGTTGATTTTTTTAAAGGTTCATTTTTATTTTATTCTGTTTAGTGTTCCATTATATGAATATAGCACGGTTTGTTTTCTCATTTATCTGTTGATGATCATTTTTGTATTTTTGCTTTTGACTGTTTAGAAATAGAGCTTTTGCTGGGTGTGGTGGCATACACCTTCAATCCCAGTATTCAGGAAGCAGAGGCAGGCAGATTTCTGTGAGTTTGTGGCCAGCCTGGTCTACATAGCAAGTTCCAGGCCACCTGGTAGTACAGAGCAAGACCTTGTCATCAAAATGATGAAGATAATAAAAAGGAAGATAAAAAGAAAATTTGATAGGCTCTATGTTCACTTATATATAAATCTAAGATGTGAACAGATTTTTCATTTTTCTTGAGTAAATTCCAACCAATGCAAAAAACAAACAAACAAAACAAAACAACAAAAAAACAGCCTGGTATACATGGAGAATTCAGGGCTACATAGGAAGACCTCGTCTAAAAGTAAAATAAAATAAAATGAGTTACTGATGAGTGCAAAAACTGGATGAATCTCACAGACATGATATTGAATGAAAATAACCAAATACAAAGAGCATTCTGTTGGCTCCCTTTACATAAAGCTTAAAAACAAGCAAAACAATCTGGCAGTGGCATTCAGTGCAGTGGCTACTTTTACAAAGAGCTTGGGAGATGAGTTCTGAAGGGCTTCTTAGTGTTGGCAGTGTTGAGCAGGTAATGGTGGGATATGCTGAAATCCTCTGAGCTCTCCTCTCCAGATTATCTCCTGTACTTGTGCGTTCCTTGCACACACATTTGGTGTGTGTGTGTATCACTATTCATCCTAGAAACTGGTATATTGCTTGTATCCTTTTTGGAGGATCTGTTCAATATTTTCATTGTTTTCACCCAGATAATTAGTTATGTTTTTTCTTATGTATGTTATATATAATTCAAGATTAAAAAATACATGTGTAATTCTCTTTTAATAGAGTATCAGGAGGACTTTAATTATTCATTAATAAGAGGATAGATCGGTATTTAAAGGTGGTATTTCAACTTGGCATGCTATTAAACATCCATTAAAACCTACTGAATCATTCAGCAATATTTGAAAATACTTACAAAATATTAAATGAGTGTAATGTGTTTGCAGCTTTGTTGAAGTAATCAGTCACGCACTATATAGCAGTATTTTCATCAATAATGAACCACAAATATTGAGGTGTTTCCCAACAAATTGTATCATCTACTTTCTCCGTAGCCATCTTAGTTTACATCAGCATGCTCTGTGATACTGGCATGGTGACAGATTCACCTTTGAGGCTCTTCTCAGGGTATATCTCTGTCAGTTGACATATGGCAGTTTGGAAAATTAAAACCGGACATGAAAAGGAATATAATCTCATCGAAATGGAAAAAGGATAATAAATTTTTGTTCCCATTAATCAGAAAATTTTATTAAACAGAAAATGGGTCACCTAAAAAACGCTAAAATATCTAAATCTCACTCAAGGCCAAACCATTTGTAAATGACAGACATAAAGTTGGGATTCAGGGTCCAACTTCTGATGAGTGCTCTTTATACTACAATGCCCTCTCTCCTTTACTATATGCATAATTTTAAGTCCCTCAAAAACACAGATGTGATTTGGCAGCTTAACACCCTCAAAGAAGAAAACCTTAGTATGCCTTGTTTTCTTTCCATATTCAGACATTCTCCAAGTTCTCAAAATGGAGAGCTAGAACCTCTGGAGCACCAGAGCCCGTAAGGATTGGTCTTCACTGCCTTTTGTCTTTCCATCTTGTGTAGATGTAACCAACCATCTTATTAAATAAGAAACACAGAACCAGTGCAAAGAAGAAAGCCAAGAGATCAGAGCTAAGAGCCTTACCTGCCTGCTGCAGCTAGCCTCTTCAGCCAAGAGACCTACTTCCTGTGTTTTTGTCTTTATATAGATAAATATAAGATAGTTATATTTATCTCGGGTTTGATATACCGTCATGGACCCCAATAACTCGCCTCGGGTTTGATTTTATCAATAAGAACTTTTAAGATTCCTGCTACACACAACAATCGTTCGTAGATGAGAAATGTCTCCGAATAATCGTTGAAAGTCATTAAGAGTCTGTAGTCGATCTCTCCTAATTTGCACCTTTTGGGGTCTAATTTTTTGTAGTTCTATTTTATATTCTAAATAATTAATAGAATCTCCTCTTTGTATCTTTTCACGAGCAATTTGTAATCCCCAGCAAGCAAAATTTTCTTCTTCAAACATTCTTTCTAAAGTATCTGCATTTGAGTCAGCTAGTAAAATATCATCCATATAATGATAAATTATAGATTTAGGAAATTTTTTACATATCACTTCCAATGGCTATTGTACAAAATATTGACACAGAGTTGGGCTATTCAACATTCCCTGTGGGAGGACCCTCTATTGAAATCTTTTAACCAGTTGAGAATTATTATAAGTAGGCACTGTGAAAAAAAATTTTTCTCTGTCTTTTTCTTGTAAGGGTATTGAAAAGAAACAGTCTTTTAAATCAATAACTATGAGAGGCCATCCTTTTGCTAACAGAGTAGGCAAAGGAATTCCAGATTGTAGAGAGCCCATTGGCTGAATTACTTTGTTAATTGCTCTATGGTCTGTTACCATTCTCCATTTACCAGATTTCTTTTTAATAACAAATACAGGAGAATTCCAAGGGCTGGTTGATTCTTCAATATGCTGAGCATTTAACTGTTCTTCTACCAGCTCTCTTAAAGCCTGGAGTTTCTCTGTTGTTAAAGGCCATTGCTGAACCCATACTGGCCTGTCTGTTAACCATTTTAAAGGTAGAGTTGTTGGTGTCTTTGGGAGATCATCCGTTGTTGTGCCCTGTTCTTATATAATATGGATGGCTGGTGACCACTCAGAATAATGCCTTCTAATATTTCTCTCAGAAATATGTGCTAGTTTATGATTCGTTTCTGAGATTGAAGGGATGTTAATCTGAGTATTCCATTGTTGCAACAAGTCTCGACCCCACAGGTTCATAGTTATATTAGCCACATATGGTTTTAATTTTCTTCTCTGTCCTTCTGGACCTATACATTCCAGCCATCTTGCACTCTGTTTCACTTGAGATAATGTCCCAATTTTTAACAGTTGAATGTTTACCTCCCGAAGACGCCAAGTTGGATGCTAAAATTCTGGTGCAATTATGGTAATATCCACACCTGTGTCTACCAGACCAGACAACAAAACACCATTTATTTTTATTGTTATTTTTGGTCTTTGTTCATTAATAGAAGTTTTCCCAAAAATTTTTCTTTATGTTTTTTCCTGAATTTTCTATTCTCTCTGTTTCATCATCCTGACCAGCATGATTTATTCCAATAGGCATTTGGTTATTTAGTTTCTCTGAGTAGGGGTTTCCTCTACAACTGCAGGAAAGGTTTGAATTGGATTTGCTATGGGGGCCTGCATGAGGCCCCTCTGGGATTTCCTGAAGCCTGAGGCAAAGGATTACCTTGCCTGTCCCTTGTTGATCTACATTGGTTGGTCCAGTGTTTTCCCTTACCACACCTTCTGCATACTCCAGAAGGAAGGGGCATTCTGTTGCCATTGTTCTTTGAAGAAACATTGTTTCTAGGAATGACCTGTCTACAGTCCCTTTCAGATGTCCTTGCTTTCCACATCCAAAACATCTAACACTCCTCAAACCTTTTGAAATTACTTCTCCTACCCAATATCGTCATGGTCATGAGCCTCAACATTAACTGTGTCTCTAATCCAATCTTCCAAGGGTACAGATCTCTTGCCTTTAACGGCCTGATTATTCTCTTGCACGCTGCATTTGCATTCTCAAAAGCCAAAGATTCGATTATTATCTGACTGGCTTCTGAATTCGAGACCATTCTCTTTACTGATGAAGTCAATCTTTGTAAAAAAAAATCTGTGAAAGATTCTTTTGGGCCCTGTATAACCTTTGTAAATGACTCAGTTTTTTCCCCTGGTTTTTCAACTCTGTCCCATGCATTCAAGGCTGCCGTTCGACATAGAATTAGGGTTTGGACATCATATAAACATTGTGTTTGTACTGAAGCATATTGGCCTTCTCCAATAAGCTGATCCAGGCAGACTTGTATTCCTTTATCCCTCCATTGTTTTTCTATGTTTTTAGCCTCATCCCTGAAGCACATTTGCCACTGGAGCTTTTGTCCGGGTTCCAGAACAGCCTGTGCCAGCTCCCCCCAAGTCCTGTGGTAGAATCCTATTACAAGTTGACCAGGTGTTTAACATTTGCTTTACATATGGAGAATGCATGCCATAAGATGCTATTGCCTCCTTAAATCTTTGTAAGTCTAACATTTCAATTGGAATCCAAGTATTTTGTCCATTCTCTTCACCGGGTAGCTGCTGTACGGCTACCGGATAAATTAAGGATGATTGCGTGAAAACAGGCTTTCTTTCTGTAACCTTATGATCCAATTTTGAAACAACTTCACTGTTAATTTCTTCTGTCTGAATTTGAACTTCTCTATAATTCATTTTTATAGGTTTAACAGGTTTTTCTAAAACTGTTGTCCTGGCACTTATATTGACTATCTTTTTAAATAGTAAAATGAGGATAAGAAAAGTAATAAAGTGCATAATTCGATCAATATTAATCTTCTCATATTGTTGTTCCATTGTCAGAGTGCCTAAAATTTCAAACAAAGCCCAAATTTCTTCCACTGTACACATAAAACCCATTTTTTTTAATGTGGAAAAAATTCTCTTTTAAATAGTTTCCTTTAAAATATTTGATATCTTAATTGATTTACCAAGTCTGCGTAGAACAGTAGAAATCCAAGGGAATTTCAAAACAGCCACCTAGTGTCCAAGGTGTGAATCCGGGATGGGGGCGCAAGAAAGTGTAGCCACATGTTCAGGCTAAAAGCTGAAATCCAGCCACGTGTTCCAGCTTGAGTCAAGTCAAGCCTGGGCTCTGGCTTCCTTAAGCTCTGACCACATGTGTTGGCTTTACAGGCAGGGGCCCTGTTCGGCAGGGCAGGCCTGAGTTGTTTGTAGCACCAGCTTTAAGCGCGTAGCACCAGCTTTAAGCACGTAGCAGCAGCTTTAAGCACATAGCAACAGCTGCGTATAACGGCTTGGGGCTATAGTTAGTCCGGCCTGAGACCACGCCGACCTGGGTCCGAGCTAGGGAGCCAGGCTGCCCAGGCCGGAAACCGGACCTGCCGCCAAGCCAAGCCAAGCGGTTTTTAATGGATTCTTGTCACGTTGGGCGCCAAATGTAGATGTAACCAACCATCTTATTAAATAAGAAACACAGAACCAATGCAAAGAAGAAAGCCAAGAGATCAGAGCTAAGAGCCTTACCCGTCTGCTGCAGCTAGCCTCTTCAGCCAAGAGACCTACTTCCTGTGTTTTTGTCTTTATATAGACTTTCTGTTCTGCCTTCTCATTGGTTGTAAACCCAACCACATGACTGCCTCGTCACTGCCTGTCTGTACAGATCTCCAGGTCTTCTATGGCTGGTTATTGAGATTAAAGGCGTTTGTCTCCAATGTTGGCTATATCCTTGAACACACAGAGATCTACCTAGCTCTGCCTACCAAGTGCTGGGATTAAAGGCGTGCACCACCACCGCCTAGCTTTTGCTATGGCTCTAATAGCTCTGACCCCCGGGCAACTTTATTTATTAACATACAAATCACATTTTAGTATAAGTAAAATATCTCTATAATCTTGTTCACATGTATTTGTTTGCAAAGTTTCAATAGAACCAGAGAAAATGAGTGCTTTAATTTCCTAATCACATCCATACCACTGTATGAAAAATAACAGAAAACCCTTAAGTACCAGCAAATTGTACCAAGTGTTTGTACAAGAATGGGAAAACTGAATTTGATTTGTGCTATCTCTTTAAAAGTGGAAACTATAAATTACTTATTTGTTCCATATAACATTTCATTGATGTCTTAGTAAAAAGAGCATAAAGCACCCATTTGTATATTGACCACTGACTGAATGTACTGAACACAATGGAACTTGCTAGGGAATGGGGAAACATTGTGGAATTGGAGTTTAGCTTGAGCAGGTGTGAAGGAAGAGTCTTTGCTTTCATAATCTTTGATAGTTTTAATTTATGAAATAGCATATTTATATGGTAGTCACTTATTTAAAATGAGTCATTTAACTCCTCTTGGTACTCACAAAATACTTCAAAACAACTTGTTATTATATACAAAGTTTGCTTTTGTGACCCCTCTGTTAATTTTAGAAATTAACTTTTCTAACCAAAAAGTGTGTGATGTTAATTTCTTCTGTATTCATTGTGTGTGTTAATTTTGCTGTGTGTATTAATTTTAGGGGAGACAGTTTGTTCTAGAATTATTAATTATTAAAATCATAATTGTTGATTTTTCTTTTCTTTTTTTTTTTTCTTTTGGTTGTTCAAGACAGGGTCTCTGTGTATAACTTTGGAGCCTGTCCTGGAACTTGCGCTGTAGACCATGTTGGCTTCGAACTCACAGAGATTTGCCTGCCTCTGCCTCCCAAGTGCTGGGATTAAAGGAGTGCACCACCACCTATGTTTTTGATTTCTTAAAGTAGTTTTGTGTGTATATATTGTTTTGATTTCATTCGCAGTGTTTTGTGTATGCCACTTAAAGAGTCAAAATGATGGGGCAAAGGCAGTTAGTTCTGGGTCTGTGATGCTCTATAGAGAATTGTCTTCTCCAGATTTACTCTCAGAAAGGTGGTTTTCCCTGTATCTCAAGGCTAGTTACACAGCTCAGTTTGTTAGCATTTGCAAAATAACTACTCCAGTGTCAGTTTTCTAAAACATTTTCAGTGAACTCTCTCTTTCTTTAAATTTCAGGCCTTGTTGGTTCTTCATCAGTTAGATAGCATCGATTTATGGAACCCAGATGCTCCCGTAGAGACATTTTGGGAAATTAGGTATATGTGCTTTTAAATTTTAATTCAGTTTAAAATTTTAATTTTGTATTTTGTCTTTGAATATTAAATTTATAGTATTTAGTTCATTGTGATATTTATTCAGTTATACCTATAGATATTTTATGATTTGTATTTTATTTGGATTGAAAATATTAGAATATTTAACTGTCAGAGAAATATCACATATATGCAAAACAAAGGTTTTAAAATGATGCTAAATTTTATCACCCTGCTACAAGTTCTGCTATGTCATGTATTATCCTGTATCATGTACTTCCATACAGTTACAATTGTGTTTGTTGTTTCGAGGTAGGATCTGTAACCTTGACTAGCCTGGAACTCTCTATTTTGACCAGGTTGGCCTTCAAGTCATAGAGATCCACCCGCCTCTGCCTCTAGAGTGCTGGGTCTAAAGGTGTGTTCTAAATTTCAGGTTTTGCCATCTTGTTATAGACTTGGATGTGCTAAGTTACTTGGAAGTGGAGTTAAAACCTAAACTCTAATAAAATAATCATTGGAGCCACATGTAATTAACTTTTAATTTAACACATTATAAAAGAAAAACTTAAATAAATGCATTTTATTTAACTTGATGTATATAATATTTCAACATATAATTAATTTGAATTGTCAATGTGACATTTTATATTTTTGTTTTCATTAAGTCTTCAAAATCTGTAGTGTGTTTCACAAAGCCCATCTTAATTTGGACAAGCTTCATTTAAAGTGCTCAAGTAGTCATGTGGGTGGCTAGTAGCTAAACTATTAGACAGTACAATTTTAGTAGAGCATAGAGAACAAGTTCTCTAAAGGGTGGGAATAGGCCAGATCTTGGCTCATCCATCTGCTGTAACTCTGCACTTTTACTGTTGGAGCAAGGAAACAGTTATAGACTGCATGGGAACGAAGGAGTGTGGCTGTGTTCCACTGAAACTTCCTTTATAAAAGTTGATGGGATGGCTGGATCTCAACTACTCTATTTCTTTGCAGTCTTTGCTGTGTATGTGAACTTATGATTTCTTCTTACCCCCTCACTGCAAGGATGGATTACTTTTTAATTTGTTGTTGTTAACATTTGGATACAACCCATGAATAAGGGAGACTAAGCCTCTGTAGAAACTTATATTATGAAATAATGCCATTCTATGTATGATTATGTCTATATTAGGTTCTTGATGATTCTCTAACAATGAACTTTATGTTATTGCAGTTCACAAATGCTTTTTTACATCTGCAAGAAATTAACTAGCCATCAAATGCTTAGTAGCACAGAAATTCTCAAGTGGTTACGGGAAATTCTGATCTGCAGGAATAAATTTCTTCTTAAAAATAAGGTAAGCACCCTGACATCTCTTATATTGGAAATATTTGAATAGTAAAGAGATGTGTTAGTTTGCTTTCGTTGCTATGATAAACATCATGACCAAAAATTGTGTTGGGGGATTTGGCTTTATATGTCTTGATGACAGTCCATCACTGGGGGAAGCCCAGGCATGAACTATGGAGGAATGCTGCTTGTTGGCTTGCTGTCTGTGGCTTGCTCATTATACAACCCAGGATCACTGGGTAGCAACTGCCTATGGTGAGCTAGAACCTCATATATCAGTCATTAATCAAGAAAATGCCCCATAGACATGGCCACAGGCCAGCCTAATGGAGGAATCTTCTTAATTACGATTCCCTCTTCTAAGATCACTCTAGCTTGGGCCAAGGTGACAAAAAGCTAACCAGCACAGGACCAAATAAGAAGTGTTTATCAGCTAGATTATATCCCTCTTCAGCTTCTCTCTCAGTGAAGTCCTTAAGAGAAACGTAAGTATGTTTAAAGATTCTGGGCGTTGACCTGACCATCTGAATGTTAGTGGATTCTGGTTGACTTAAGTAGGACTCTGGGTCAGGCCTATGAAGACTGGAAGGCTACTATAATCATAGAAGGCTCAAAGAATCTGATTTCTCTTTATTCTTAAGTCCATACATACCATATTACTTGGCTTTCGAAGAGCTAAAGGGCAAAGGTTTAATTAGTATGCCCCTCCTAAAGGTTTGTCTTTTAGCTGGGTATGGTGGCACGTGCCTATAATTCCAGTACTGTTGTGGCCTGCATGAGTTTAAGGCCAGCCTGAACTGCAGAGTGGATTCTAGGCCAGCCTGAACTATATATTGAGATCTTGTTGCAAACAAGGCCAGGAGATGTAGCTTAATGGTACAGAACTCTAGTACTATAGAGTCAATAGATGATTTCATCTTGAAAAGATCAGGAATCTTCTTTTAATTGGAATAAAATGTTTAGATTCTGAACTTTTGAGACACGATGGAGTTCTGGGGAATAGGAAAGAACCTTACATTTCTTTAAACATACAATTTTTATAATCAATTTAAATTTTTTTCTACGCTGGGTGGTGGTGGCACACGCCTTTAATCCTAGCACTTAGAAGGCAGAGCTAGGCAGATCTCTGTGATCCAACCTTGTCTACAGAGCGAGATCTGGGACAGGCACCAAAACTACACAGAGAAACCCTGTCTTGAAAAACAAAACAAAACAAACAAACAAACAAAGTCTTTCTATTATGACATAGTTTAAAGAATACTTGATTTAGTGAATTTTTATCCAGGCCTAAAATCATAGCTATGAGAAACCTTACCAAGCATTTTGATAAAATTTTGTAGAGGTGTGCTGATGGAGAGGGGTAGTTATTTGTATCTGGCATATCTTGTTGTATTAACATAGTAAACTTAAGTTTATCCCAAAGATAAGATATTAAACTTAAGAATTTTATGTGGGGGCTGGAGAGATTGCTCAGTGGTTAAAAGCACTGGCTGCTCTTCTAGAGGACCCAGGTTCGATTTTCAGCATCCATATGACAACTCACAACTGTCTGTAACTCCAGTTCCACAGTGTGTGACAACCTGCCTCTCCAGACGCATGGCATATAAACAAAAATGCAGGCAAAATACCCTCACACACACACAAAGAAAGAAAAACAAAGAATTTTGTATGCTAGCTTCGGTTTAATGTCTAGCAGTCAGTGTTGGTAATCTAGTAGTGAGTCAGAAGTTCTCTGTTGAGGGCTTGAGAAACAGTTCAGCAGTTAAGAGCAGTCCTAAGAACCAAGATCAGATCTCCACACCCAAGTAACACGCCATGTAGGTATCCATGCATGATATAACCTTAGCACCTTGAGGATCTTGATCTCGAGGATCCTTGGGCTTGCTGGCTTTCAACCTCGGTGAGAAATAACCCCCAATTTCAGGGACAGAACTTGCCTAAAAGGAATAGATGGAAAGTGATAGAGAAGGTCACCTGACACCCATTACATGTATATGTATACACTCTCGCATATATACACACACAAAAATACAAAATACTTAACAAAAAAATTGAACATAGGATTACCATGTAATCCCACTACTGGTTGCAGAGAAAGGGAGAAGGAAGGGGTCAAGTGCTATGGCTAGTCAAATCAATGCTTTACTTAAACAATAATTATCTTGACGAGGCAAAATTGTTATCTATAACTCATATAGTATTATAGTTTTCTTGCAATAGACTTTATTTCACTAAGCAGCAATGTTGGAGAGTAGACAACTGAGAGGCATTTGAAAGAAAGACATTGAGCAAACTTTCCTTACTTCAAGGTGAAGCATTGGGGTTGAGAAGAAGCTTTCTGGGGCTGCCTTAAGCAGAAGGTCAGTCCACACTGAGTCCTCTTCTGCGGACATCAGTGCTTCAGTGGGACTCCCTTCTTTTTTCTAGCAGGCGGACCGAAGTTCCTGTCACTTTCTCTTCCTTTGTGGAGTAGGATGTGATATTCCTGCCGGTGGGAATAGCACTCAGATGTCAGTGGATCATGATGAGTTACTACGGACCTGTGCTCTTGGAGCATCTCTGCGGAAAGGAAAAGGGAATTCCTCCATGGTAGGTAACTTCCTTTGTAACTCCTGTACCATCGTTTCTGCACTAGTTTTCTGAGTGGACTTTGGTAAATTTCAATTAAATAATTTTGAATGTTAGTTTTATTGCTGCTCACTGTGGAACCCTGGGCAAATTCTTCACAACTCTGTGCTCAGTTTCTCAGATTTAAAATGGAAATACCAGGACATGGTGAAACACACCCATAATCCCAGTGTTCCAGGGGCTGAGGCAGGAGGATCACAAGTTGGTCTTTTATTTTGTTTGTTTTTTAAAGACAGGGTATCACTATGTAGCCCTGACTATTCTGGAACTTCCTGTGTACACCAGGCTGGTCTCAAATTGAGAGATCTGCCCATACCACCACCCCTGGCCTTTTAAATTTTGCTTTTTAAAATGTGTTTGAGTGTTTTACCTACCTGTATATTTGTGCCCTCATGTGTACCTAGAGTCTATAGAGGCCAGAAGAGGGCTTCTGATCCCATGGAACTGGAGTCTCAGATGGTTGTGAGCTGCCTTATGAGTGCCGAGAAGTGAACCCAGGTCTTCTGGAAGGGCAGGCATGCGTGCACTTAGTGCCCTTAACTATTGGCCTTATTCTTTTCTCTCAGAGGAAACAAGTTTGAAGCTGGCTTGGTCTATATACTGTGTTCTAAAAAAAATCAAATAAAAGTGATTAATAATAATAGCTAATTAAAAATAAATCAAAAGGGTATAATCTTGCTCCATAGTTGTTGAGAGGATTATACTAGGTGAGATGTCAATAGCACTTGATTATTTGACACTGTGGCTGATAGCTATAATCATTCTGACATGAACCCTGTCAGAAAGTCTGTATTCATAGGCAGAAGTTAAACTAAAGGAGGTTCAAATGGAAATTGAACCTGAAATTAAAACAAAATATCTATTTTGCTAAGTATTATAAATAAGTGTTTATTTCTTTCTCTCTTTGCTTTTATTTTTGCTTTTTTTATGTATATATACATGTGTTTATATGTTCATACAGTCTTGCTTTATAGCCCTGGCTAGCCTTGAATTCACTGTAATCCTCCTGCTTCAGCCTTGTAGGTGCTGTGATTATAGGCATGTGCAGTCAGTCATGCTTGACATGTTTGAAGTTTTTAGACTGGGTCTCATATAGACCAGGCAGCCTTGATCCTCCTGCCCCTTTCACACAGTGCTGAGATTATAGGTATTAGCACTATCCCCAGCAGGACGTTTATTTCTATATGTGAATGTCCTTCAAATATAAATTGTAATATGAGCAGTTACCAAATCACTATGGAAGAATTTGTTTTTCAGACATAGCCTTTTTGTCCTTAAGTTTTACTGTAGCTGATTGAGCGGGAAAGCACACTAAGCCCTGTAGCAGCCGGCGTGTGCTTTGCCTGCGTACTTTGTATTTGCTCTGTAATGTATTTCTGCAGTTAATGGTTGGGGAACGTCAGATCAGATCAGTATATCTTGTGCTGCGGTGTTTAGTTTGTGGGCCATTGTTTCAGTCAGTACTACCATGTGTTTATTCTTTCCCTCTAAGAAGTAGTGCTTCCTGTTGCTTCCTCTTCCTTTGTCATTTCATGGTTGACTCCTAAGTGCATTAAAGTTTTGCTGCAGTAGACTCTGTGTTTTAGTGTCTCACTTGAATATTTGTTATAGATTTTATTTACATTTCTGGAATCTAAGATAATACAGATTTGAATTGAAACACAATACCATTTTGCTTTATAGTGGTTCATGTTATCTCATTTAGAGTAAGGTACACCAGGAAAAGATCTTATGTTTAAAAAGGAGAATTCATTTTAGTCTTGTGTACAGTGATAGATGGTATATTGTTGAGTTTGCAAGTAAAGTCACCTAAGTTGTAGATCTATCCCCCTGCCTCCCAGGAGAGCACAGCAGGGTGCAGCGGAACCCCACCCATATGCCGACAAGCCCAAACCAAGCTGGAAGTGGCCTTGTACATGTTTCTGTGGAGTCCTGACACGGAAGCTGTTCTGGTTGCTATGTCCTGTTTCCGCCACCTCTGCGAGGAAGCAGATATCCGGTGTGGGGTGGATGAAGTGTCAGTACACAACTTCTTGCCCAACTATAACACATTCATGGAATTTGCCTCTGTCAGCAATATGATGTCAACAGGTAAATGTGGGTCATTTTTTTTCTTTCTTTTTAACTCAGTTACTTTGACTGACATCTAATTATTTTTACAGTGGAGTGTATTTAAGACAACAGTTTGAAAGTTTCCAGGGCTAATTCATATCGCTTTCTTGAAATCCTTTTCTGAACAAGGTAGGATGAAATTAAGTGACATTTGAAATAGAATTTTTACTGAATGTTTTTGATGCACACTTTTGTTAATAGCTGGCACTGTAAATTGCTTTTAGTTGTAGACTATAGAAATTACTCTGCTTGAATTGTAAATGAGGAGATTGGAGAACATAGGTGTGGAGATGGCTGTTTTTGTTCTAGTCTTCATGGACTTGGAAATGAGTACTCTTGTGGAGGCTGGTGAGAGTGTGTGTTGAGCTTGGTCATCCGAGTCATTTCTTCTATTCTTTCACTGTGCTCCGTGTGGGGCTCAGCCCGTTCCTTGGCTCTAAGCACTCACTGGGTTTGCTGTTGTTTTTGCTTAGGAAGAGCAGCGCTTCAGAAGAGAGTGATGGCCCTGCTAAGGCGTATTGAGCACCCCACTGCAGGAAACACTGAGGTATGGCCTCGGCAGCAGCAGCAGCACCCATCCCAGGTCCCTACCCTCATGTTAGAAGCCTCCTCTTAGCTATGTGATAAGCAGCAACTTCAGAAGCATATCTGAGCTTTGTGCATTTTGCCAGTAGGATATTCTACTCAAAACCTGGTAGTTCCATGTTGATTTTGAGTTCACCCCTAAACTTGCTTCTTAATGATAATTAACTTCATTTTAGGCTTGGGAAGACACACATGCAAAATGGGAACAGGCTACAAAACTAATCCTTAACTACCCAAAAACCAAAATGGAAGATGGCCAGGTGAGTTTGTGCAGTGAATTTTGTGTATTAATTGATTTCTTGCTCCACTTAAGTAATCTTTGTGAGCTACTCAGAGCAGTATACTATATAGAATTGTTTTAAGACTACTTGTGGTTCATCTAAGTCTGTACAGCCTAATCTTGTAGCTGTTAGCCACATGTATCTGTTAGAATGTAAGTTTTAACTTGTTTAAGTTAAATAAATTAACTTATTTTCTCAGTTTTACAATAGCCAAAGTTGAGCATCTATTTGCTATGTTGGACAGTAGAGATGTAAAATGTTACATCACCACAGAAGTACTAAACGCCTGCTAGAAATCACTTAGCTGGGGACCATTCATTTACTCTTTCTTGTATTTCTTTCAAGTATTTCAAAGAACTTTTAGAAAAGATGTAACAGCTGTAGATAGAGAAAAATAAAACTCTAACAATCGCATGTTGTTTGTTTTGAGACAAGGTCTGGTCATTTCTTCTTGCTGCTCTTGAGCTCAGTTTGTAGAACAGGCTGTCCTTGAGTTTGCGGTGACCCTCTTGCCTTAGCTTCCCACATGTTGGGTTTCCAGATATGTGCCACCCTGTCTGGTTACACCCTGCCTGGCTCATGACGCTGTATTGTTAGATACTCTAAAAAGGATCTAGTGGGCAGACAATTAGAACCCATATTAAAGTTAAATGCAATTTTAAACTTTGGGCATTTCATTTAACTATTATTATCAAGTGTATTATTTCAATCCTCAACTATCACCAGTTATCTGTTACTCTAGCAATTAACAATTAATTGGTATTTGTGTATAATTGATCTGTATCATCCATAGTCTCTTGTTATTAGGTCTTTGAGAGAAACTGTTTAGGCTGGGTGGTGGTGACACACATCTTTAATCTCAGCACTCAGGAGGCAGAGCTAGTCAGATCTCTGTGTTCAAGACCAGTCTGGTTTACAGAGAGAGTTCCAGGACAGTCAGGGATACACAGAGAAACCCTGTCTGAAAAAACCAAGAAAAAAAGAAAAAGAGAAAAAGAAAAACTGTTTAGACCAGGAAAGTCTAGGGTGGGAGTGGCAGGTTAGCGGTGTCAATTGGCATATAATTCATATACCGTAAATTCATAGCCTCTCTCATCAAGTGTCCAGTCCAGTGATTAGTTTAGTCACAGAGTCGTGTGACTGTCAGTCAACACAGTCAATTGAAGGCATTTTTATCCTCTCAAAGAAGACTCTCTCCTCCAAACCTGTGCCCTTTAGCTATTTCTAGCTCTGACTTGCCATTTTTCCTACCTTTCTATGTCCACACCTCCAGCCTTGAGGAGGAGCTGCTAATCTATGTTTTATTTCTACATTTAAAAAAAGGAAATTGCTTTTTCACAGCATTTCATGCAAAGGGGATCTTTGATTATGTGGGCCTTTGTGACTAACAGTGTTTCCTCTTGTTTTAAGATTCATCCACGTATATCAGAGGTTTTTTAAAAGAAATTTGACACTTCAGGTTGATTCTATTAGTCAAGCTGTGACAAAGATATATTAAATAGCTCCTAATAACATATGGTAGGGCCTGGAGAGATTGCTCAGTGAATAAGAGCGCTGGTTCTTCTTCTAGAGGACCTGGGTTCCATTCCCAGCACTTGCATGATGGCTCAGAATGGCTTGTAATACCATTTCCAGAGATCCAGCATCCTTCTCTGTCCTTTTTGGGCACCAGGCATGCACATGGTACATAGATATACATGCAGGCAAAACATTTATATACATAAAATAAAACTAAAATTAAAAAATTATAATGAATATGATAATTTCAAGCTTTGTTTTTTAAAATGTAAGATGTACTTTTCCTACTGGAAGAAATGGGAAAGAGTAATTTGTAAAATTTTATCTAATCTATGTTGAATTCGTGCTTTTCACAAAAATGTGTTTAGGCTGCAGAAAGCCTTCATAAGACCATTGTTAAGAGGCGGATGTCCCACGTCAGTGGAGGTGGATCCATAGACCTGTCTGACACAGACTCCCTGCAGGAGTGGATCAACATGACCGGCTTCCTTTGTGCCCTTGGTGGGGTGTGCCTGCAACAGAGAAGCAGCTCTGGCTTGGCGACCTACAGCCCACCTATGGGCCCTGTCAGTGAGCGCAAAGGGTCTATGATTTCCGTGATGTCTTCAGAAGGGAATGTTGATACCCCTGTCAGCAGATTTATGGACCGGCTTCTGTCCTTGATGGTGTGTAACCATGAGAAAGTGGGCCTTCAGATACGGACCAATGTTAAAGACCTGGTGGGGCTGGAGCTGAGTCCTGCTCTGTACCCAATGTTGTTTAACAAACTGAAGAATACTATCAGCAAGTTTTTTGACTCTCAAGGACAGGTGAAGTCTTCTCCGCTTTGTTTTTTACCCTTCCCTATGAGTACAACCATGTGTTTGAAATAAATGAAGACTTTCTTTCCAATTATTTAAATTAGGTACCAACAATGATAGTCCACTTACAATTTTTAAAAATTGTCATAATTACAGAAAAAAAAGAATCATGTAATCTAGGGATTAGCCTGCTTCTAAAGCACTCAGGCCTGTGGGTGTTACTGGAGTTAACAAATGTTGGATATAGGTATTAGTACCTGTGTATATATCAGTGTGTTTGTGTATTTGCCTATGGTGTGCATGAATGTGATAGTTATGTCAGTTTCATTGTCCTGTGATCTGTTTTCTGTGCATTGATATAACACCACTAATGTATTTTGTTTTTGTGTAGGTATTATTAACTGATAGCAATACTCAGTTTGTAGAGCAAACCATAGCCATAATGAAGAACCTGCTGGATAATCATACCGAAGGCAGCTCTGAGCACCTGGGACAAGCTAGCATTGAAGCAATGATGTTAAACCTGGTCAGGTAAGCATTTGCTACTGAAACATAGCAGAGACATAGTTGAAGAGCTAAGACCTCTTATGCACTGGTAATGGGAATGATGAACTATTTTGTCATTCTTTATTACAGACTAGTGTAGACTATGACAACAAGATAATCAGAAATTGTATGTTCCTACTGAAACAAAATTTAAATATTAATCATGTTTAAAGTTAAATTTACTTGAAGATTAAAGAATTTAGAATACCTTAATTTTTGTCCATATCTGATCATTTTTTATTCTGTGCTTAATTAGATATGTTCGTGTGCTTGGGAATATGGTCCATGCAATTCAAATAAAAACGAAACTGTGTCAGTTAGTTGAAGTAATGATGGCAAGAAGAGATGACCTCTCATTTTGTCAGGAGATGAAATTTAGGTGAGTTCTCAGAAGAGCAAAATAGGGTCTTTTATGTGAAGTGCTGTGTAGAAAAGCTTGGTTATATGGGGAAGGGGAGGTGGGTGAAGAAGTGTTGTGCATATGTGCATATTTGTTTTCTTTTTCTGAATATCTTCCCAAGTTTCTCAAAGCTCTGTTCCTCTGGGAATCTGGGTGTTTTTTTTGGGGGGGGTTCTCTCTCTCTCTCTCTCTCTCCCCCCCCC